TTTGGGGCAGGGCGGCCGCTTCCTGCTGGCGGTTGGGGTCGCCGCTCCCCCGCGGGCGAGCTCGGCCCACGGACGAAGTGGGGGTTTAAGCCGAAAACCTAGACTCCAATGATGATTCCTAAGGCAAAATGCGTTGGAGCTGTAAAGGACCTAGATAAAAATGCTAAAACAGCATGTGTCAAGTGCTTCAGTTGAACAGCAGTTAGCACCCCTCCACTGGTGGTGCGTCAGGCGGCTGCTTTCGCTCCCGCAAACCTGCAGACGCGTTTGAAGGCAGGGACTATTGCCAGCGTATAGTGCATGGTACAGGAGCCCTGTGTTGAAGGTCCAGGCAGGCGAGGATTCCCAGTCACATGAAAGGGGTTTCCCAAGAGGCCTGCGCAAATTAAAGCGCGAAAGACAGAGCGGTGTTTCAACAAATTGGACAGTGTTTTTTCATGCTAAGGAACTGATATTTCTTATCTATGAATGCAAGGATAGACTGCCAGCGGGAACAAAGCCAGATGCAAAACAAGACCCTGACATGACAAAGTAGGGAAGGACGAACGTTTGGGTACATTCTCCGCACTAGCATGCTCGGTCAACATATTCATGCCTACTAAAAACGCACAAGTAGTTGTGAAAAAAGCTCCTAGCACTTTTCATACCAAGGGTCCAAATATCAAAAAGGTGGCAAGCATTCCCTCCATCAACTGTATTCTAACACCAGGTTATGACACCTCTGAAGGAAACGTCAGTTTCTTACTGCTATACTTTAAAAAATGTATTCTGATTCTGCCCTCTTGTGGTTACTGAAAATGTCAGGTCTTTACCGAACTTCCAACGTGTTTTTTTTATGGGAGAGGGGAGCTAAAGAGTTTCTGTGTATTTCTGGGATAAGTCTTTTAACCATCTGTTTCTCAAAACACTGTTACTTACAAAGTGGATTTTATATCTGGATTTATGGAACATCCCACTTCTCATTCAGCTTCGTGGATTTTATACTAAATCCAAGGCTCCATTTTATACCAGACTTAAAAGGCTTGAATTATAGACTAAAAGGATTGAATTATGAAGAACTAAGTGTCAGTAAAAAAATTTCTAACCAAGATTCACACAACATCCAAGTCATGTTTCTCACTGCCTCTTTGATCATCAGGTCTTTATTCAAAATTAGCTGTCCAAAATGATTTGACCTTTACCAAATAAATTTAAGTTTATGCAGCAGCCTTCTTTTCCTCTGTGGTGGGTTTCTTTTCTGTGGGCTTCTTTTCTGTGGGCTTCTTTTTAGCAGGCTTCTTTTTAGCTGCTGGTTTCTTGGTTACTGCAGCCTTTTTTCCCACCAAAGGCTTCTTTGGCTTCTTCGGCTTCTTCAGCTTCTTAACGCAAACAGCCTCCTTTCCCTTCTTTCCCACCACAGGCTTCTTGCCTGGAATCCCCTTATCTGATTTGGCTTCTAGTGCTGCTGCTGCCCTATCCATCCGGATTTTGTGCTGCAACAAATTAGGAAGAAAATCTAAGAATCAAATCTTTCTAAAAACTCAACATATATCAGCAAAACCCAAATTATTGCTTACGTTCCTGGCCTGGCGAAGAATGGTGTTCCGGCGCATGGTCTTCGCATATGGGTTTAGCTTCAACATGATTCTCAGGTTTTTCAGTGGATTCTTCTTCAAGACTCTGCGATGAATCTTCTTGCTATAAAAAGGTAGAGACTATATTTATAGTTTATTTACATTACCCATATTTCTGAAATATCCAATAGTGTGAGGCTAGGCAAGAATTACAGTGAATATCACAACTTTACCGTGGTGCTCGGAGGGCTCTTTGGATCTCTGGGCTTTTCAAGATTCTGCTAAGGTCTGTATTGAGCATCTTGTGCATGGGGAGGCTGAATGAAAACAAAACATTGACTATAGAGGCTCAACTCCTATTTCTCATGTAACTGACTAAAGAACATGAACCTCAACAAAAGTACTTTTAATCATTTAAGCTCGACAGAATACAATCAGAATTTCCACTATACTATCACTTCTCAGAATCTCACCATTTCCACATATTGCATCTGTTTACAAGGAGGAAATGGCAACACAATCGTTATTTAGAAAATATACAAACCAATTTTGAACACTATCCACAGCATAAACACCATGTTCAATATATGAATTACACTCACTTGTAGTTACTCTTGAGGGAGGCGGATTTACGCCAAGTGCCATACAGCTCATCTAACTTGCGGAAAGCACTTTCAGTCCAAATGCAGAAACGTCCCACATGCCCACCAGGAGCAAGTTTCAAAATGTTCAGTTTGCTTACATTAAGCAGAGTAATTCCTTTTAAAGGGAAAACAAGAATTAGGGAGCCTGTATTTCAACAGAAGAAACACAAATCATCTCTATAGCACCCAAGAAGTATTTTAATCATGAATTTCAACCATCAATGGCTCATTCATTCAGCCAAGAATCAGAAGTTCCACAAAATCATGAAGTTTCAGAAACACAGACCATAAAGTGGAATCTCATCATAATAAAAGCTGAGTAAGCTTGCACAGCATGGGTAATTAAAACATGTAAGCAGTACAAGATTTACCAGGGATGTTTCTGAAGGCCTTGATGATGCCATTGTCCTCATTATAAATGATGCAGGGTCCCCTGCGCTGGATACGGCGACGGTTTCTCATTTTGCCTTTGCCAGCTCTCATTCGCTGCGAGGCGTAGACCTAACAAAGTGAGGTTTGGTATTTTGATTCAGATATGATCCCTGCAACAGATCTTCATAGTTTAAAAAACTTCATTTTACAGATGATCGAACTAGAGGCAAAAATGACTTGCCTAAATTTAACACAGCAATGATTTCAGGTTTCAAACTCAGGTAATATGGTTCCAGAGTCCTTGCTCTCACATCCACTACGGTTTAGTTATACTGTCCCCTTCGGTAATCTTTTGAAATTTAAAATCTGGCAACAAATTTGTGTGAACGACCACAAAATCTACCTTTTTGATATCATTCCAAGCCTTAAGTTTCTTCAGGAGCAAAACAGCCTCCTTGGTCTTCTTGTAGCCTTCAACTTTATCTTCAACCACCAAAGGAAGTTCAGGAACTTCCTCTATACGATGACCTGACAAAGCCAATTAACAGTGACCTGGTTACCCTGCACCCTTTGAAAAACTGAATCGAACCCACAAAATAAAAATGGTGTATACAATTTGCCAAATCAGAATTCCCACAAATATCATGTGTTTCAGAAACACGGACCAATGAAGTGGAATCTCATCATTTTGACGGTTAAATGAAAAGAGGAAGCAACATGACAAAATGGAAAAGTTTTCTAACAATATACTACATCACTTTATTAGAATGAGTTCCCCCAGTTACATAGTATTCACTGATGATTGAGTTGGATACATAGTATTCACTGATGATTGAGACTGAAGTGATTATAACTAGTATTTAGCAGACGGACATTTAGCCAGACACTCTAGGATGAGGTGAATGTACACAGGCTGTTAACACCAATGAAAAGGGTCAGGTAGAGAAAAAAAGGGGTATTTTATACGACTCCTAGAATATAAAATATCACAAACCTTTAGACATGACCAGCGCTGGTAAAGCCGAGGCAGCCAACGCAGAGCAGATGGCATATCGCTTCTGCGTTGTATTCACTCTGCGGTGCCAACGTCGCCAGGTCTTGGTTGGTGCAAACATGCGGCCCCCACGACACATCTGTTTTCCCAGTTAAGAATCATATTTCTCAAATTTTAGGAATAAAAACAGGTTATGCCTTGCTCAGTAAGAATTTTCGTCACCCTTCTGAACCAGCTTACTGACAGCAGGCAACTGTCGCTGAGAACAGAGTAAGGCGCAAATTACGACATCACTGCAAGCAAAACCTCCTACTGTCAAACCTGTTGGCTTTAAAAATTATGACGGAAAAATCTTCCAGATTTCAAATCTGTCTAGAGAAATGTTTAATCTGGACACTAGCATCTTCAGCATAAATTATTTTGCAACTACTAACAAGAAAAAGACAGGTCCAGCCTGCTAAATGCCACAGCTGACTAGTCTAGGTGGTTAAACAAAGGATACATTTCCAAAAGCACCCTGGCCAGAACGGTGAGTGCCGCCACCTCGAACCCTGGGAATTCGAGCCACAGCTCTGCCAGTACCCCAAGACTCAGCACTGGTTTGATGACCTGAAATTGTGAAGAAACCCAAGTTTTAGCTACCCAACCACACCATTCTGACTACCATACACGGTAGCAAACAGCATCAGAACATCCAGGAAAATCATGTGGTTCAGAAACACGGACCAATGGAGTGAAATTTCATCACTGCTGTTAAGTACCTCTTAAAAAGTCAACCCAGGAAAGATCTAAATCCATACCTGCTAATTCACTGACAGCATAGGGCTGTCTGTTGTTTTTGCGCAAGTTGGTGTGAACAAAGTTCACAATATCTGGTCGAATGGGAGCCTTGAACACAGCAGGCAAAGTGACATTTTTGCCAGATGACTCCCCCTTTTCAGAGTACACTGATATTAGTGGACGAGCACACGCCTGGGAAAATAAAAAAAAATTTATATTGACAAGCAATGTCAGAGGCACTCTTCTCACGTGCCAACAGAAGCATTAACGGTTCAGTTCCAGAAGAGACTAGAGTTTGATGAGGTAGATAACACTTAAACCAAAAACAAAGGCTAAGTTACCAACACACCATCAGGTCTATTAACATCAGTAAATACTTGAAGGACACTTATGATTCTCAAGTTCTGCCACAGAATTTTCACTGTTTTCAAAGAGAACGCTTTATGATTAAACTTTTAAATGAGACCTTAGAAAGCAAAATAATCAAAACCATACTGTAAGGTTTGAAAATGCAATTTAATGCCATCATCCAAACTCTTTCATCCCAAATGTTAGCAAATCTACCAGGGCTCCACTCCTCCAAACATCCATCCTTGCCCCCTTCATCCCATTCCAAACACAGGTTCCAAAAATTACTAGTAAAAACAACAGCCCTGTTACTTCTTGCTCAATCTTCTCCAAAGACCTACCACCTGAAAGGAAAACATCCCAAGCAGGATGTACACAACCTGCACAACCTCGCTTTCCATGCTCTTCCAGATGCTCAGGCCTACACTCAGGGCCATCCCTGTCCTGCCTCAGATGTAACCAGTCTTCTACCTAAAGATACCCTTACTCACCTCCTTCAGGTTTCTCTGATCACTGTTTATAAAGCCCAATTGCTGCTTTTTCTCCAACTTCCTATGTCTACAGCACTGACTAGCTTCGAACATTACGATGCATTTTGACCAGCTCAATTACGATCGAAGCTTCATAAGAATAGTGCTTTTTCCCTATTTTGTTCACTCAACTCCCCAAGGCACATATACAGACGTTATCTATGCAGTACATACACAACAATTAAATTTTTAAAGAGGACCAGAATGCTTTCAGAGGCAATTCTTAAGATGAACACACAATAATTCAGGAAAAAAGTGGAAATACAAGTTTTTTCTTTAACGAAATCTCTCAAAAGACGAAGTATCCCTTACTAAGCCGGGCACGGAGATACAAGACCCCAAGCTGACTCTCACTCAGACTCAGTCTTAGACCCTGCAAATTTCCAAGTCTTCAGTGGAACCCATTCTTTCAAGATCCAAGGGAAGCCAGAATTCCAAAGGTCCTTCTGCGCCCGAGAACGATCTGGGGGTCCTCCTGTGTCGCTTCCAAACGCGCCCTGCGCCGGCTCGCACACGTTGCCTCTAAGATGGCTGCCGGAGAGCCTCACTTCCCAGATCCCAGCCACAGACGCCCTGTGGTCCCCATCTCCTTCTCCTCGCTTCCCCTCATGAAGGTTTTATGACCTGAACCCCCAAGCCCATTCCTGCCAGGCCCCAAGAGCAGAGAAAGGTCCAACGGAGAGAACGTTCACTCACCATGGCGGGGAGAGGAAAAGGCCACGCTCCTCTCAACCCGGCGGCTCCCACAGGAAAAGGAAATGCTTAGCACTCCCACTCTGTATGTAACCTTCAACTCGTCCCCTACCCTGCCCTGTCTCAAAACCAATACAGGGACACAAAATATATCTCTACCACTCTAAAAAAATAAAAATAGCGTATTATTTCTTCATATATGTCAAATTACGGTATCTATTGAATTTCAAAGACAAAAAGAGCACTTAGAAACAAGGGACTCCTTTTCGCGGAGTAATCCATAAGGGGGCGAGGCCAACTCTCGCGAGACGAGTGTCTTTTCCCCCTCAACCGTTACAACTTATTTTAACTTTTTTTTACGGGAATGGAAAACTATTGGGACAGGAAAAACAGCTGTATGCTATAAAACAAGTTTAACTTTGTGGACAAACGTAACCTGTTGAGGGGGTGGTGGTAAAAGTAGTCCCGGCGGGGGGTCATAACCCCGGAAGTCAGCGTCTGGCGCGTATTTCAGTTTGGCGGTTTCGGATGCAGTCAAACTGGGGCGGGATGTGGTCGCGAACTAACCGAGCTGCTGAGGAGTTTTACGCTCATCTCCTTCAGTGAGTAGTAGCCCCTGCTTTTGTCTTGGCTGTGAGGACAGCATTTCTCCCTCGGGGTATCTCGATCCCTGCCCCAAGCCTCTTTCTACAGCCTTGGGGATTAGCGCCTTGCCAGTTTCCAGCGGCGCGAATGTTGTAGACGAAGTCCGCTTTCCCGGGAGCTGGGAGCTGGGGAGACGCCAGTTACCTGCTCCAGTGTGGGGTTGGCGCTGTAGGCCCTGCTGCTTGTAGTCTCGTTTAGGAGAAAACATGTGTACATTTTCACCTGAGGTGGAAGGTGCCAAGTTTTCCAAGAGGCACATTATTCACTCTTATAATGCACACAACTTGTGATATGTTCGGGGCACCTACCAGGATAGAGAAAACTAGATGTTGACATCCTTCACCTGTTTAAAGCCTGGCTGGCGTGAAACATGTTGTTATAGTCTATTCAAGATAGTTATATGAGCAACAGTTATAATGATAACGTGATGGTGTGTCGGCTCTTTAAAGCACCTTTGTTTCACAGTGCTCTTAAGACTTCGTTTTATTCGTATAGTGAACACTAGTACTAAAGGGGATTCCATCCAGTTCTGTATCCAACATAAAAATCGAATCCAGTAGTTCTCAAATTTGAGCATGAAGCACTATCACCTGGCAGGTTGCCAAAACGTATTGCTGGGCCCCCTTCCAGGGTTTCTCATTTAGTAGGTCTGGGGTGGGGCTAAAGAATTTCCCTTTCTAACCAATTGCAGGTGAAACAGATGCTGCGGGCCTGACACTTTGATAACTGTTGTAATCTAACCGCTTCTTTTCTAAATGACATACTTTTTCATTATTTGTCTTCATTGCTTTTATTTCCTGCTTACAAAAGTGGTAATGCTAGTCAGGTTTTTCAACATTATAGAAAGATCACTAACTTTCTTTCTTTCTTTTTTTTCTTAAACAATGTCTTGGATAGCTTTCAGTATGAGAGCTTATACATCTCATTGTTTTTAACGGTTATATAATATTTCATCGTATGGCTGTTTTATGTTTATTTAACCAGTGCCTTGTTGATACAACTTTATTTAGATCTTTTGCATTTCCTAATTATTTCACAGGTGTTAGTCTTTCTCTCCACCTGTATCCCTCACACTGCCTTTGTAGCTACCTGCCTACTGGAAATTTCCAAATGAGACCTCAAACTCAACGTCTGTGAAACTGAATTCATCTATTCCCCACAACCTGACAGTCTCCTGAATTCTGTCTATGAGTTAAGAGTTCCAAGCCCAAGACTGTCACTTGGTTCTCTTTTCCACTGCCACCCACCCCTGTCCCATCTAGTCAGTCACCAGGTGCCCTTGTTCTCCCTCCGTCCCTACTGCTTTTGTTCAGCATCAGCACTTTTTTGAAGGACTACAAGTTATTCACAGCTATTTTCCTGGCCTCCAAGTTTATAGCCTCCACATCAGGAGGTCAGGGAGATCTTTCTCATTTAAAATCTTATAGTGAGCTCCTCTTGGCTTTCAGCATACAGTTCAAGCCCTCTAGCAGAACCTCTTCCTTTGGGCCACGACAGTACCCCACACTCCCCTCTGTTGGGACTCATCACCCTGTATTGCAATTGTTGGTTTGCTAGTTGGACTGCAGTCAAGACTGTGAAACAGGGGCTATGCATTTGTTTTATATCTTGGACATTTAGTAAGAATTGTTGACTAAATATTATGACATAGTATGAGTGTGTTTCGTGTTTGGTAATTGCAATCATGGTTGCTTTTGCTGTGGTCATCCATTTACAATGCTTGGTGTCAGTCTGTCTCTTGTAAAAATAAAATACAGTGTGTCTGTGTGTGTGTGTGTGTGTGTGTGTGTGTGTGGAAAAGAAAAAAAAGAATTGTTGACTAAAAAAAAACCAAAACCCAAAAGTTATGTTATTTGGGGACCTTACTGAGGACTATAGCCTGGGAATCAGCTTCTCAGATAGCTCTGAAGAACTGTTCCAAAGAGGTAAGGGAGTAGCCAGAATATATAGGAGTTTTTGCTGGGGGAATATACAAACAAAAACAAAGCAAAACAAAACAAAAAAGTAGCTGAACATCAAAAGTTTACTACTAATCACAAGAACAGACATCTCAAGTTAGTGATTTTAGTGCTTTTCCATGTATGGGAAGATGTGAGTCTGGACTCATTGAAATTATTCCTTTGATACGCATCCTAACTGTCTAGGGCCAGTATCCTGTTTTTCTGCATCCTGAATTCCCCTCAGGGTGCACCAGGGTGGCTGCCGTGGCTGATGGTTTTATGGTGGGCAGCATTCGGTGTTTACCAGAATGGCAGGCAACTTTTTTGTCTACAGAGTGCCTGCCCATAATACACATACTGGTGACATGATTCTTGAATGATTGATTGAATAACATCCCTGAGTTATACATACATAAAAGTTAAACTTCTTTAAGAATAAGTCACAATCTTGTCCAAAATGTGAGTCATAGTTTTTATTTCAGTGAGTTATAGAGTGGATCAAACAATAAATGGTATCGTGAAACCATTCTGTTGGGTTCCTTTGGGACTCTAAAGATTCTTTTCTCTTTCAGAGTGTAGATCAGGCTGATATGCATTTTGGTATGTTAATGGCTAATAGTTTACATGCTTTGGGATCAACTTTCTTGAATAAAATGATAATTATGAAGTATCTTAGAGTTTTGTGCTTACATTTTAAAAAGGAAATGCTTTAGCATTATCAAATTTACTAATTTTTTAGTGACAGCTCATGAAAACAGGGAGGATAGATTCTTCCATTTTAGCAATAGAAATCCAAGACCTGGGACCCTTAAATAACTTCTCCATGGTTACCCGCTGATTCAGTGGCAGGTCAGAATCCAGTCATTTTTACTTCCCAAAAGTCATGTAGTAACTTACACTTTAATAGTAATTGGTACTGTGTTTTAAAAGTTACAAGAGTAGAGATAGGCAACCTAATTTCCTGCTGCCTCTGAGAAGCAGTAGTACCCACTTTGGGGCAGCTGTCTATTAATCAATATCACATCTCTTTTTTTTTCCTTGTTAACCTAATACTCTTTTTCTGCTTTTTTCTCCCTTCTCAACTATGCCTTAGGACTGCCATGAATACTTTGTATTTTGCTTTTCTCTTGGAGAAAGTAATGACTAGCTCCTGAGTTTAAATGACAGAATACTATAGCTCTATTTTTCACATGTGGTTCTGCATTTCAGGGAATTTGATGAAGAAAAGAAAGGAATCTGTAAAGATCCATTTATCTATGAGGTATGAACATTTTATCTGGTTTTTAAACAACTCAATCATCCTAAAATTTTGAGCTTTTAAAAGTTGAGTTTACTGAAGTTAATTTACGTAGACTAAATTTCACCCTTTTAGAGTACAGTTCTATGAATTTTTACAAATGCATTTAGTCATATAACTACCCCCATAATCAAGAACATTGCTATCACCTCCAAAAAATCCCCTCATGTCCCTTTATAGTCAACCGTTTCCCCTGTTCCCTGGCAGCTACTAATCTGTTTTATATCTCTGTTTTCTGTCTTCTTTATTGCCTTTTCCAGAATGTCATATAAACAAAACCATATAGTTTGTAGCCTTTTGGGTCAGGCTTCTCTCAATGAGTATGTAATGCATTTGAGATTCAACTGTGTTGTTGTGTGTATCAGTAGTTCATTCCTTTTTATTGTTGAGTACTATTCCACTGTTTTGCCAGTTGATAGACACTTGGATTGTTTCCAATTTTTGATAATTATGAATAAAGCTGCTATGAACATTCATGAATTTATTAAATTTAAGCATCTAATATATGCCACATGTTCCATAGGTAAACTCCCCATAGAACTTAATCCCTTAAAACAATTAGCAAACTAAAATTTATATTCTAAAAGATGAGCTGAGGAGAAATAGTCATAAATGGGCTAATATCTATGTGTGTAAAATATATAAAAAGCTCTTAAAATCAATAAGGAAAACAGACAATCATAATAGAAGAATAGGCAAAGGATACAAATAAGTAACCACAGAAAGAAAAATACAAATACTGTTGACCCTTGAACAACAAAGGGGATAAGGGTGCTGGCCCTCTACAGTAAAAATCTGATTATAACTTTATGGTGGACTCTCCCTATATGTGTTTCCTCCATATCCGAGGTTCTACATCTGTGGATTCAACCGACAGTTGGTCATGTAGTACTATAGCGTTTACTGTTGAAAAAAATTTGTGTATAAGTGGACCCATACAGTTAAAACCTGTGTTCTTCAATGGCCAACTGTATAGTTATCTCTTACTCTCTGAATTCTCACTAACCAAACTCAAAAATCAAATATATCCAAGTAAATGTATTATTAATCCCTCCCTATCTGAATTATTACCAGTTGGTACCTCTATTAGTTTCCTACGGCTGCTGTAACAATGTACTACACACTAGGTTTCTTAAAACATGAGAAATGTATTCTCTCACAGTTCTGGGGACTAGGAGTCTGAAATCAAGGTGTCAGCAGGGCTTTGTTCCAGCTGAAGTCTCTATGAAAGGATCCTTCCTTGCCTCATCCTAGCTTCTGGTAGTTTCCAACAATCCTTGATGTTTCCTGGCTTGTTGAAATACCTGCCTTTGTCAGCACATGGCATTCTCCCTGTGTGTCTATGTCTCTAAATCTCTCTCTCCTTGTAAATATACCAGTCATTGGGTTTGGGGCCATGCCCCCCCCAACCTAGTTAGTCTTCATCTTAATTTGATTACATTTGCAAAGATCCTATTTCCAAATAAGGTCACATTCAGAGGAATCAGAGGTTAGGACTTCAGCTTATCTTTTGGGAGGACTTAATTCTACCCACAACAGTACTTGATCAAGAACTTAGTAGATCAGAATTACAAAGCATCCTTTGCTCTCTGAACTTGGTATCTAAATGCTTCAATATCCAAACTAAGAAATAGTTTCAAATAGTGAGAGATATTTGTCAATAATAATAATATTAGAGGCTGTTCACTCTCATTAGTGATCAAATAAATGAAAATTAAAACAATAACAAAGGTAAAAATAAACAATGAAAGTAATGTGTTGACCTAAGTGATGGGGATGCAAATATGTGGGTATGACATATTTGAAAGGCAATTTGACAATATCAATGTGATTTTAGATATTCATCTTAAAGTACTTAAAGGATGTCCATTATCAATTGTTTGTTATAGCATATAACTTGAAAATACCCAAATGTTGAATAATATGGAATTATGTGATGGTAGATCCATGGTACTAGACAGCCTAAGAACATTTAATGGCATGGAAAGAAGTTCATGATATGAAACCATTAGAATGTTCTATTTATTTTTTAAGCAAAATCCTATTGAGTTATCAAAATAACAGATATATTTCTATTATTTTATTTTATTTATTTATTTATTATTTATTTATTTTGGCTGAATTGGGTCTTTGTTGCTGCACGCAGGCTTTCTCTAATTGCGGCGAGCGTGGGCTACTCTTCGTTGCAGAAGAGTAGCTTCTGCAGGGCTACTCTGCGCGGGCTTCTCACTGTGGTGGCTTCTCTTGTTGTGGAGCATGGGCTCTAGGCACGCAGGCTTCAGTAGTTGTGGCATGCGGGCTCAGTAGTTGTGGTTCGCAGGCTTAGGTGCTCTGTGGCCTGTGGAATCTTCCCCGACCAGGGATCGAACCTGTGTCTCCTACATTGGCAGGCAGATTCTTAACCACTGCACCACCAGGGAAGTCCCGATATGTTTCTCTTTAAATAGATTTATTTATATGTCTGGAAAAAGATCAGGCAAAATATACACCAAAAAGGCTAATAATAGTAGTGACTACTCTGGCTAGTAGAATTATAGATGAGTTTTAAAAAATCTCTTTTAGCTACCTGTTTTCAAACTTTTCTACAATAAATGTTTATTGCAATTGGAATGAAGAAATATGCAGTTCCTATAAACTGATAAAGTTCTAAATTCCATAGTACAATCAGAAAAAAAGATAATATTTAGTAAAGAGCTAATTTTATGGTTCATAACATTAAATCCAATATGATTAGGGGAAGAGGATGTCAGTGTGATCCTAATCAAAAGGTCTTACAAGACAGGGTGCTCTTTAGGTGGGCCTTGAAGCACAGAGATAACAGATATAAGAGCTAGAATTTTTTTTTTTTTGCCCATGCCACAGCTTGCAGGGATCTTAGTTCTCCGACCAGGGATTGAACCCGCGCCCTCGGCAGTGAAAGTGCAGAGTCCTAACCACTCAACCGCCAGAGAATTCCCCAGCTAGATTTTCTCAACATGAAAAACAACATGGGCAAAGAATAAATGAAATTATATTTTGAAAACATTACATCTTGTTCAAATTCTCTTTTCCAGTTACTTGCATAGAACTGGTCTTTATGTGTTTAAGTATTTGTACATATATATGTGTGTATCTATAACATTGCTGGACCTTAATCCATTTTTAATAGGCTGATGTTCAAGTGCAGTTGATCAGCAAAGGCCAACCAAACCCTTTGAAAAATATTCTAAATGAAAATGACACAGTATTCATTGTGGAAAAAGTGGTAAGTAGTGCTTGGGCTTTGTGGTTAATTCTTAACAGCCAAATTTGGTGTCTTGTGGATAATCTCAGATGTACACATTTTCTTATCAGCATGTTAGTGACAGTGGATTCTAATATCTTTTAGTAGTAAGTACAGTGCTGTCCAACAGAGAGATAATGTGAACCACATACGTAATTAAAAATTTTCTGGTAGCCTCATTGCAAAAAAAAGGTAATTAATTTTCATACTGTAAAATTGACTTTTTCTTTTGTTGTTCAGTTGTGTGAATTTTAACACATGTCTACAATCTGGTAATCACCATCATAATCAGAACACAAAACAGTTCCATCACCCCAAAAAACTCCCTCGTGCTATCCCTTTAAAATCATTCCCTCTATAAAATGGATAACTAATAAGAACTTGCTGTATAAAAAAATAAAGTAAAATTCAACAATTCAAAAAAAAAAAATCATTCCCTCTTCTCCCTCACTGTAACTTTATCTTCTTAAGAATGTCATGAATGGAATCATACAAAAGTGTGTAACCTTTTGAGTCTGGCTTCTTTCACTCAGTGTAATAATGCCTTTGAGATTCATTCAAGTTGTGTATTAATGGTTCATTTCTTTTAACTGCTGAGTAGTATTCTGTGGTATGGATGTACCACAGTTTCTTTACCCATTCATCCTTTGAAGGACATTTGGGTTGTTTTCAGTCTTCAACGATCACTAATAGAGCTACTATAATCATTTTTATACAGAGTTTTATGTGAGCACAGTTTTCTTTACTGTAACTGGCTAGGAGTGGGATTGCTGGGTCTGAAATTATGTTTAATAATGCTTTTATTTAATCTAATTTATCTAATGTTATCATTTCAATACCTAATTCATATAAAAATCATTAATGAGATTTTAAGTTCTTTTTTCCATACTACGTCTTTAAAATCTGGTATGTATTTTACACTTAAATCTCAGTTTGATCTGGCCACATTTCAGGTGCTCAAAAGCCACATGTGGCTTGGTGGGTGGCTACTGTTTTGAACAGCACAGCATAAGTAGCTATGACTCGTAAATTTCTACTTTAATTTTTGCTTGTTAAATGTAACAAGAGGAGACTTCTTATTTTTTGCATCACTTTATAATTACAGCCTTACACTTTTGTGGGTTTTTTTCTTTTTTTTTCAATTTTTGAATTTTATTTTACTTATTGTTCTTATTAGTTATCTATTTTATACATATTAGTGTATACATGTCAATCCCAATCTCCCAGTTCATCCACTCCCCCGACCCCCGCCACTTTCCCTGCTTGGTGTCCATACGTTTGTTCTCTACATGTGCATCTCTAGTTCTGCCCTGCACACCGCACCTCTGTGTTTGAAGTTTGGGAACTGTTTTGGCAGAGCAGTAACAGTGATGTTAACTGAGTGCTGATAATGCTGTCACATTACACAGTTGCTTTGGGGCCAGGACCCATTCTTGGGTATATTTTTTCCCGAAGTAGATAGGAACAGGATCTAATAGGGGAAAGTGGATGTTCCTTTAGAAGGAATATCTTTGCTTTAGGGCCCACATGCTGTCTGGACCGGGATTGAGATGAATGAACAGAGAGCTCTTTATTTTAGATACACACAGAAACTTCTTTCTGAGGAGGGGACATATTTATTTGTCTTTTGTATTAATGATGCTTATCAGTGGTGGACAGATGCTTGGAAAATAATTATAGGTGAATTATGTGGTTGAATTTAGACTTTTCCCATAGAAGGGAAAATGTTTGTTGAGCAAAAGCTGAAAAAATGAAGTTGGTCGGGTGAAGATGAGTTATCTGGGAAAAGGTAAAGATGAGCAGAGGAATTTGTGGAAATTGGTTGGGCTACTAGTGAGGATGCAGCTTGGAGTTGTGAGGAGTTACCTGGCGTTTTTGGCTGGGGAACAATTAAAATGGGCTTTATTTCTACAAAGATCAGTAGAGCTTAAAGCATGAGTTTTAGGTAGATGGATATTGAAAAGTAGAACGGAAGGAAAAATGACATTTCTTGGATACTTCTAGGAACTATTTGGAAACCCAGGCCTGAAAGGGAATAAAATCTGGAATCTGGCAGAAGAAATTCAAAGTTGAGGAAACATCTAGGTCAGATACCTATTAAGTATTTACTGCTAGAAGAGCTTAGTGGATAAGAACTTGAGTTTTGAAGTCAGACTACCTAAATTCAAATGTTAGTTTTGCCGCTCAGCAGCTGTGTTATTCTAGGCAAGCTATTCAGCTATTCACTAGCTCAGTTTTCCGGTCAATAAAACAGGGTTAATAATAGTATGTATCTCAGGGTTTTTATGAAAAATGAAAGAAAGCTTGGAACAGTACTGGTACATAGTACATGCTCAGGAAATGTTAATTCGTAAAATTATTGTTATTATTGGCAGAACTGAACTTTTTAACTACTTAAACACATGGATATCAGAAACACAAATGAGAGCTGATAGCCCTAAGAGGAATAGACTTAAGGAGTAAGGGCTGTGAACCTTCAAGTTTGTGGAGTGACAAAATCAGGGAGTCTTCCAGGGGTTTCCCTTGGTGTTTGTACATCATTTTGTACGTGGTAGAGCACTTCCTTTTCTGATGGTACCAGATACTTCCTTTATCAGTAGCAACTTAGATCAATATCTTTATAGGACAGTGGAAATGCTTCTGACGGTGATTTATTGGTACCAAATTGGTTTGTAGCTATGATTCTTGTCATAACCCAATCATTTTGTGCTTAAGCGTTTAGAAATCAGTACGTTATGTTCTAGCATAGTGAAGAGTTGACTGTTACCTTAAGTGTTCTTTTAGCTGGTTAAATAATTAAACATTTTTAAAGCCTTTAGAAAAGGAAGAAACAAGTCATGTTGAAGAACTACAGTCTGAAGAAACTGCTATTTCTGATTTCTCTACTGGTGAAAATGTTGGACCACTTGCTTTACCAGTTGGGAGAGCCAGGTAAGTTTTTTCTTAGTGTAGGGGTGGAGGGTAGGATTTAAATAGAAGTGCACTTATAAACATTGGGAAAAAAATATGTATCTAGCTAGATCCCTCCCTCTCTCCTTTTGCCTCCCCCTTGATGTGTATACTCACTTCTCTAAGGATAGCTCTACTTGACTGTCCCTTGACTGTACCATAGGTATCCCAAGCCTAAATAAGACGACTGCGGTGATCTTCCCTTTCTCCATTCCCCTATACTGATTACTGTTGTTGCTTCATAATTGTTTTCCTTATTTCTAATCTGGTTCCTCGCCAATCTTTTTTCCTCACTGCTGCCAGACTGATCTTTATAAAATGAAAGCCTGATTGTATTGCTTCCCTGCTTAAAAATCCTTCAATGGTTCTTTTGCCTCATGATAAAATCCAAATTCCTTATGAGTGACACATAGGAGCCTTTAGCATCCAATCCAGTGGTCCTCCATGAGGGGTGCCATACTCAGCAGGCAATTGGAAATATGCAGGGATACTTTTTGACTGTCACAGTGATTCAGGGGAGCTTTTGGCCTGGGCCATGGATGGTAAATGTCCTGCAATGCATGGGACTCTCCTGTCCAACGAGGAATTATCCCACCCAGATGCCAGTAGTGCCCCTGTTAGAAACCCTACCGCCTCTGTCTGCTTTGCCAGTTTCACTACCCACCCCCCAACATATGACTTTCTGTCTGCCCGGCCTCCCTCAACTCCAAAACCAAAAGTCTTTGCTGTCAAGGAGTCCTGCAGGATCTGGTTATATATATAACAATATTAGAGAATAAGGACCATAATAACAATATTCACAAAGTGACTTTCTTTCATGGTGGTTTTTTTAAAAATTTATTTATTTAATTTATTTATTTTTGGCTTTGTTGGGTCTTTGTTGCTGTGTGCGGGCTTTCTCTAGTTGCAGAGCACGGGCTACTCTTAGTTGTGGTGCGTGGGCGTCTCAATGTGGTGGCTTCCCTTGTTGTGGAGCACGGGATCTAGGCACAAGGGCTTCAGTAGTTGTGGCACGCGGGCTCAGTAGTTGTGGCTCACGGGCTTAGTTGCTCCGTGGCATGTGGGATCTTCCCAGACCAGGGCTCGAACCCGTGTCCCCTGCATTGTCAGGCGGATTCTTAACCATTGTACCACCAGGGAAGCCCCCATGGTGGGGTTTTTTTGTTTTGTTTTGCTGTGTAGAAGCTTTTAAAATCTTTTGTAGTTAATCAGTCTTTTCTTTCTTGGCTTCTTGATTTTAAGTCATGTTTGGCCTTTTTTGCTTTTCTGTCCCATAATTTGAATATTATTTATTTGCATTGTTTTCTCCAGCCAATGTGTGTTTGGATTTATCCATAGGCTTATCATTTCTTTGCTCTCCATTCAGACCTTCCTTCTGGGATTATTGTATTTCTTTATTGAAGTACAATCCCTTATAAATGCCTTTTCTGAACATCTGTTGGTAATAAATTTAGCTTTCATTTCTTTGAAAAGAAATTTTAAGCCGTATTTTTGGTAACTTTTAATTCTGATACACTCAAATTTACAGAAAAATTAAAAGAATAGTTCAGGAACTTCTGTGTACCCTTAACCAGATTGACCATTATTTACATTTTGCTGTCTCTGCTTTGTGATTCTGTCACTTGTTCCTCCTCCTCTGCTCCTGCCCACTCCCCCATCTGTATAACAAACACGTGTCACACACACACAGCTTTTTAAATGAAATATTAACAGTATGTTGGAGACATCATGCTCCCTCACCCCTAAATACTTCACTATGTAATTCCTAGACTCTAGTACATTCTCTTATATAACCACAGAACAGTCATCAAAATCTGGAAATTTAACATTGTTACAATATTACCATCTAATCCACAGACTATTCAAATTTCCTTAAGTGTTCCATGACTAATGACCTCAAGCATCTTTTCATATATTTATTGTCTTCTACTTTCTCCCACCCCCCAGGTTTACTGAGATATAATTGACATATTCTGTTATTTCTTTTGCTTAATCTCACAGCCTACTTCCACTCCCAATGACCCTCTATCACTGCCATATTGAACTCCCTGCTTGTAGTAGCTATACTTTGTCTTTTTTTTTTTTTTTGCGGTACGCGGGCCTCTCACTGTGTGGCCTCTCCCATTGCGGAGCACAGGCTCCGGACGCGCAGGCTCAGCGGCCATGGCTCACGGGCCCAGCCGCTCCGCGGCATGTGGGATCTTCCCGGACCTGGGCACGAACCCACGTCCCCTGAATCGGCAGGCGGACTCTCAACCACTGCGCCACCAGGGAAGCCCACTTTGTCATTTTTTTTTTTTTTTGGTCACTTCTTGATCTGCCTCGTGTGCCCTGCTCCCACTTCTTCACTTGGTGAAACTTTTATGTATTTTGCCACTTAATTTCCAGATTTTTGTTTCTGGGATTCTGTGATATTGTGATGTATAATAAGAAACATATTTGGTCTTTGTCTGCCATTCCTGGCACCCAGCTCCTGAAACCTTTGGAATTTTCTAGGTGTGGAGAACTATAAAGGTGTCTTTTGTTATGTTAATGAGGTGACTTTTGAACCCCACACCAGGTAACCTAAGAATGGAGGCTGCTTGCCAGGGGAACCAAGCATGTGACTGGAGGGTTGGAACTTTGAGTCCCACCCAACCTCTGGCGGGGAGAGGGGTTGGAGGTTAATTTCAGTCACCAGTGGCCAGTGATTTAATCGTGACTATGTAATGAAACCTCCATAAAAACCCAAAAGGAGAGGGTTTGGAGAGCTTCTGGGTTGGTGAACACATGGAGGTGCTAGGAGAGTGGCTTGCTAGGAGAGGCCGTGGAAGCTCTGTGCCCTTTTCCTCATACTTTTCCCTTGGCATCTCTTCCATCTGGCTGTTTCTGAGTTCTACGCTTTTATAATAAACTGGTAATCTAGTAAGTAAAATGTTTCTCTGAGTTCTTTGAGCAGCTCTAGCATGTTAATTTAACCCAAGGAGAGGGTTGTTGGGACCTGCGATCTATAGACACACAGATGACAACCTTGACTTGGAATTTGGCAATTGGACGTTAGGGGGAGGCAGTCTTGTAGGACTGAGGCTTTAACCTGTGGGAGCTGATGCTATCTTTGGGTAGATAGTGTCAGAATTGAGTTGAATTGTAGGATACTCAGCTAGTGTCAGAATTGCTTGGTGTAAGGAAAACCCCCACACGTTGGAACTGGTTATAAAATCTTAGATGGTGATCAGAAATGGGATCAGAGTCAGAATCGTAGCTACTGTTCATGAAATCTTTGGAAAAGAAAACTTTTGACTGATTGACAGTCTCTACGTCTAATTTATTCTTCCTACTGTTGTTTCCAAGGCAGTTAATTGGACTTTACACCATGGCTCACAATCCTAATATGACCCATTTGAAGATTAATCGGCCAGTTACTGCCCTTCCTCCCCTTTGGGTAAGGTGTGATGGTTCAGATCCTGAAGGTACCTATTGGCTGGGAGCTGAGCTTATCATAACCAATAACATCATCACAGGAATTGTCTTGTGCATGGTCACCTGTAAAGGTGAGAGCTCCCTTCTCTTACTTTTGTGGGGGGGGGGTGTATATATTTATTTGTATATTATTGCTTTGTGGTTTTTACTGAAACTTGATATTGTTAAGAGGGAGGTGCACACAGTGGAACTTGTGTTAGCCACCATGAATCTACTGCAGTGTGTAACTTGCAGCATGTAGGAGATAGTCCAGAAACAGATTTCCAGAAGTCCGAACAGAAGTTTATGGCTGTTTTATTTGGGTTTCATTTCATTTATATGTGTGTATTTTTGGAAGTTTTCACTGGAGGATAAAAAAGTTGAATATAATTTCAATTTCATAGTGGGCCTTTAATTAAACTTTTGGTAGTATTATTGACCTCTGTTCCACTTTCCTTCTTTTAAAAACATTTCATCTGTGATTTAAAATTTAATTTCAACAATTATTAGTGTTAAGTTGTGATACCCTCAGAATTTGAGGGATTATAATTTTCTAGCTCTAATGATGTAATTTTTTTTTTAACATCTTTATTGGGGTATAATTGCTTCACAATGGTTAATGATGTGATTTTGAATTGTACCTGTAAAGTTTTTTCTTTCTTTCATGTCCTATAGCTGATAAAAATTATTCTGTAAATCTTGAAGACCTCAAAAATTCACACAAGAAAAGACATCACTTGTCTACTGTAAGTATTTCTCTTCTATTCATATTATTTTCTTCAAACTGCTAACAATCTGCCTTCCTAGTATAAAGGTTTTTTCACTCCTAATATGACTAGATATTTTTCTGTAGTATCAAAATGTTTATTTTCATATCAACTAATGACTGAAAATATATGCCTTGCCTTTTAGCTAATCTTTGTGATGAAAAAGAATTGTCTTATTTTTCCATTTGGGATAAAAGCATGGCACTTTTTTTTTTAAACATTTTATTTATTTATTTTATAAATTTATTTATTTATTTATTTTTGGCTGCGTTGGGTCTTTGTTGCCGTGCATGGGCTTTCTCTAGTTGTGGCGAGCAGGGGTTACTCTTCGTTATGGTGCACAGCCTTCTCATTGCAGTGGCTTCTTTTGTTGTGGAGCATGGGCTCTAGGGCTCACGGGCTTCAGTAGTTGTGGTATGTGGGCTCAGTAGTTGTGGCTCATGGGCTTAGTTGCTCCGCGGCATACGGGATCTTCCCGGACTAGGGCTTGATCCCGTGTCTCCTGCATTGGCAGGTGGATTCTTAACCACTGTACCACCAGGGAAGTCCTCAACACTTTTTCTTTTGGGAAAAGAGTCAAAGTCATTTTGATAATGGGCCTTTGGCCTTGTGAAAGCACAGCTAATGGTCTGCTGGATACACTCTTTCAGTTAACAGCCAGCGGCTTTGCCCAGTATGAGCTCTTTAAGTCCACTGCCTTGGATGATACAGTTGCTGCCTCACAAACTACGATCACTTTGGATATTTCCTGGAGTCCTGTGGATGAGATTCTTCAAATCCCTCCACTCTCTTCAACTGCAACTCTGGTAGGAGCAAACCCTTCTTTCTGTTGCGCTTACTCAGTGTGGATTTACTTTGAACTTGCCTGTTGCTAGTGCTCCATGCTTCCAGCCCAGCCCCAGGCTTAGCTCTCCCTGGGCAGCTCTGAAAGGCTCAGCTTGCCCCTGAAGCCTCACCAGAGCAGCCAGTGGAGGTTTTGCCAGGTGATCTGATCTATCAGTTATCCACAGTGCTGCGATTATGATTAATAAAGTCTCTTGAGTGGGGACTTACAGTCTCTGCTGTTCTTAAAAGAGTGCAGATATTGGCAACACATCAAGAGTCATTATTCTATTTCAGACCTTTCACCCTATATTTACATTTCTAGAATCTCTCTTAAGAAATTAATCAGAATTGGTAATAAAAATATATGGACAAAGATATTCAATGTAGTCACATAGCTGTGTTTAGAAAATATTAAAAACAAAACCTGAATAGTCAGTAGGAAAATGATTTAAATAGGTTTTCATGATGAAATAGTGTATATATATTTTTTAAATCATGATTTAAAGTATCTTTAATAATGAGAGAAAATGCTTATTATTAAGGGGGAAAAAAAAGACCCAAAAAGTACAAAATTATATGTACAGTAGGATCTCAACTATGGTTTTTAAAAATGTGTGCACAAAGGCCTGTATAGTGTTACAAGTGGTTTCCTCAGGGTGGTGGCTCATGGATAATTATATTTTTAGCACTTTTCTTTTCCTGCAGTAGGAATTTACATACTGGCATTTACTATTTTCTTCTCTTTCAAACCATCACCCACGCTTTTTTTTTTTAAGGTTTTAGGTTTATAAAACTTTGACCTCTGGCTAAGACAGCACATTGTAGATTTAACAGTTAGAAGTCTAATGAGCATATTTATTGGGGGAGGGAGGGTGTTGTTTTTGGTGTGTGGTAATGCTAAGTTTGTCACCGAGTCTTGAGATGTATTTATTTATATTTCTACTCCTTGTCCTTTTGGAAATTCAGTGGGACGGAGTAGGAGAGCATGTGTTCCATGTAGCTGCAGTTGTGGTATAGAGAGGGGTTCTGGTGGCCTGGATTTAGGGTACTGTATTGGGATGGGGGGGGGGTCTATGGTATCCCTGGGGAAGGTGTTCTAAATGCAGTATTGACCTACTTTTTCAATTCACTAGTGCTTCATGAAATATATTTTTAAATGTGTGGGTAGTTTGAAATGCAAATAACTGTGACCCTGATGCAGAGAAGATGGGATTACCAGTGAAAACTGACTCTGGGAACTTTTTAGAATATTAAGGTGGAATTGGGAGAGCCCAGAGGTCCTCTGAATCATCTTCACAGACAACTGAAATTTCTCCTTGTGAGTATCCTTCTAGAATTTGTAACTTGTATTAAATCTCATGTTTTCATTAAAATGTTTGCTAGTGTCATTGTTATTTAGTTTTGTGTTCTTCAAAATTTGTTCCAAATGTTATGTGCTTGGCAATTGGGGCAGCGTTACTGTGTGGTAATTGTCCTTGCAGTTAAAGGGAACATTCATCAGTTAGTAGTTAATGGGTAACAGTTCTTTTGCCTTTTCTACGAAGTATTTGAGTTTTATTCATATGATGGATTCCCCTCTTTCCAGGTGAGTCAGTTGCCAGTTAATTCCAAACGTGTGTATAATCTGCTTGTTACTAACTGGGATTTTGATTGGTGCTGAAGATTAATGAGCATGTGTTTTTATGTTTCAGTAGTTTAAGCTCCACTCTACAAATTCAATCTCAGGGGTGTGGGGGGGGCACTCATTTTGTTTATTTATGTGTTTATTTATTTACTTTTGGCTGCGCCGGGTCTTAGTTGCGGCATGAGGGATCTGTCCTTATGGCTTCTCTCTAGTTGAGGTGGGTGGGCTTAGTTGCCCCGCGGCATGTGGGATCTTAGTTCATTGGAAGGCGATTTCTTAACCACTGGACCACCAGGGAAGTCCTGGTGGGGCGTTGTGGGGAGTCATTTTAATGCAGTAGAAATTCCAAATGTCTTAGCTTGGCGTACAAAGCCAGTTATATCCAGTTACTGCCCTACTTACTTCTTTTTTCTTTTCTTTTTTTTAACAGCTTTATTGAGATAGAAATTACATCCCATAAAATTCACTCATTTTAAGTATACAATTCAATAGATTTTGGTATACTGACAGAGTTGTACAACCATGACCATATTTAATTTTAGGGTATTTTCATCACCCCAAAAAGAAACCCCATACCCATTAGCAGAAACCTCCCACCCCTGCCAGCCCCTGGCAGCCACTAATCTACTTTCTGTAATACTTTGTTCCTTTTTATTACTGATAACATTCCAGTGTGCATATGTACTACATTTTTGTTTATCCGTTCATCAGTTGATGTATGTTTTGGTTGTTTCTACTTTTTGGCTATTTATGAATAATGCTGCCATGAATAGTCGTGTATAAGTTTTTATGTGACATATGTTTACACATCTCTTGGGTGGAGTTGCTGGGTCATATGGTAACACTATGTTTAACCTTTTGAGGAACTGCCAAACTGTATCTTTTCCAAAGTGGCTGAATCATTTTACATTCTCACCAGCAGTGTATGAGGGTTCCATTTTCTCCATATCTTTGCCAATGCTTGATACTGTCTTTTTTATTGTTGTTCCAGCCATCCCAGTGGGGGTGAAGTGGTATCTCACTATGGTTTGTTTATGGGGTTTTTTTGTTTTGTTTTTTGGGGCCGTGCCGCTAAGCGTGCAGGATCTTAGTCCCCCAACTAGGGATTGAACTGGTGCCCCCTGCAGTAGAAGCATGGAGTCCTAACTACTGGACCGCCAGGGAAGTGCCTCATTATGGTTTTGACTTGCATTTCCATGATGGTTAATAACATTGAGCATCTTTTCATGTTCTTATTGGCTCCTACTTATTTCTTTAGCTTGATCTCACTCCCTACTTTGCCATACTGAGCTCCCTGCTTGTAGCAGCTCCAGTCCCATCACACTGTCACTTTCTGGTGTGTGTGTGTGTGTGTGTGTGTGTGTGTGTGTGTGTGTGTGTTGTTCTGCCTAGTGTGCCCTTCTTCCACCTCTTTGCTGGGTTAGGGTTAGCTGTCTGACATCTTCACCTCAGATGATTGCCCTGATCCCCCAGAATAGCTTATGCTGCCTGTGCTTCGTGCTGCCGTAGAACCTTACGCACCCCCCTTGTCAGACGGTTTATCAAACAGTAATTTATTTACTTCTCTGTCTCCCCTACTGGGCTTGAGGCACAAGTATCCCATTGTGCCTTCAGCTTCTAGCACAGTACCAGGTGTTTTTCATACTTTTACCTCCTCTCATTATTTCCCCATTTGTAAAAAACTTCGTGCTTTTTCTGCCTTTCTTACCTTTCTTCTTTCTTGAGAGCTCCTCTTTCAGGACCCTTCCTGTGGGCTTCCATCATACTTCTACCTTCCTGTCTCTGCCCTCCTTTCTCCATCCCGGCAGAGGGCTTGTCCATTTAGTGATTTGACTAATGCCTTTACGAGGGAACTCCAGACTCCCATCTTTAAGCTGCTACCACTTCTGATCTTTCCCACTTCCATCAAATTAGTTCCCACCTGAGTAGAGGGCTCTTCCCTCCAATTCAGTATGTCCAAAATGAAACTTGAAATCTCCAGACTAGATCCCCTTAATAAGCCCCCCATTTATTTCTGTGATTTCATCACTCCTTCAGTTTCACAGGCTAGAAACCCTGTCTTTTACTTTAGTAAGAACTATCTCTAGTTACTGCCACAGCTAGAAGCTGCCACTCTACTGTGTGCCCAGCATGTGGTGCTAGATGGTTCAGTTATTTTGCCTGAGGTGTCAGCAACTGGTAAGTGGAAGGGCTGGTTTAAAACTCATTCGAATACATGTCTGTCTGTCGGACTTGAAAGTCCATGCTTTGTTGTAATCTCGCTTAGAAATTCACAGACGCTTAGATGTGCACGTGGCCATCGTCTCTCCAAGTTCAATCCCCTGTATTTTTATAAATAAGTAGGATTTTTTTCTTTTCTTCTATTCCTTATATATTTCTGTCTGTCTCTCTCTCTCTTTCTCTCGAATGTACTGTTTGTTTTTTGTTTTTTTCGCTTTGAGGTATCTCACTGTGCCCATCTTAGTTAAAGCCCTTATTACCTCCCTTCTGGACTACTCTAATGATCCTTCATTGTTCTCAACAGGGACACACACTCTGGGCATCTTGGGCAGGATCATTCTTTGTGGTTTGGGACCATTGTACACATTGCAAGATGTGTAGCATCCTTGGCCCCCACCAAACTAAATGCTCAAAACGCTCCTGTACACACAGTCACTGTGATGCCAAAATTTATCTTCACGTTTTTCCAAAGACTCCCTGGGATGGAGGATGATCTCACTCTTATTGAGAAACACTGTACTTTCTTTTTTCCTTAGACTCTATCCTGAGTATTTCTGACGGGAGAATTCTTAGCTGCTTGATCATGTCATTTTCCTGTCAAAAAATCAACAATGGCTGTTGTCTTCCAAATGAAATAAAAAATCTTTTTAAGTCTTAAGACCACTGTTTCTGTCTAATCCCTATTCCTTGTACTCTTATTTGCCGCTGTTTCCTGGGTGTTTTCACCACCCTTGGCGGAATCATCCCACCTTCATCTTATCCCCTGCTCTGCATTTGAGTTGAGCTAATGTTTCACATCGTTCCTCTGGCCATTCTAGCCTATCTTGACCTCGACCTCTTTCCTTAGTTCAGTTTAGATATTGTAGGTATAGGCATACACATTCATGGTATTTTTATGTAAACTTCCACTCAGTCTCACATTTGTTGTTCCCCAGTTATTTCATCTGTATTATCATTCCTTCTTAGCCAAAATTAGAAGTGTCTTAAAGGCAGGCTCATAGGTCTTGAATCCTTTATAGCACCTATGCACACATAATGAGAGTTCAGAATACCATCTTTAGCATAAGACTGCTGGATGTATGTACTGGCACTGTCAGTTACTGTGTGACCTAAAGCAAGTTAATTAACCTCTTAGTCTCAGTAAAATGGGAGTGCTAGTAGTATCTGCCTCATAGGGTTTTTGTGAGGATTAAATAACATACTGCATATGAAACATTTAGAACAGTTCCTGGCATCTCATTAAACATTGAAGAATTCAAGGTACTAGGAATTCCCTGGCAGTCCAGTGATTAGGACTCCACATTCTCACTGCCGAGGGCCCGGGTTTGATCCCTGGTCAGAGAATTAAAATCCCACAAGCCACGTGGTATGGCCAAGTAAAAAAGAAAAGAAAAAGTGTGTGTGTGTATATATATATATATATATATGTGTATATATATATATATATATATATATATATATATATGAGAATCACTTTACTATACACCTGAAACTATAGAATGTTGTAAATCAACTATACTTCAATTAAAAATTTTTTTAAAAAAATTTAAATAACTTGGACAGGAGAAAAAAATCTACCTTGGATTAAACTTTAAACTGCTTAATGCTTGTATCAGATTTGAGAAGGATCCCAGGAGTCTTCCTTGAATCATTTAATAAGATAATTAAGAATTACAAACTAGGAGACATGAGAACTACTTCAATTAAAAAAAAAAAGAACAGTATGGTACTGGCATACAGACTATTATTACTAAATACATTTTACTGATTAAACTATGTTTTTTGCTAACAAGATTTTTGGGTTTGTTTTTTTTTTTTAATCTCTCACAGGTTTTAGCTGATGGTTTGAGGACTGGTGTAACTGAATGGCCTGAGTCTCTGGAAGCAAAATCTGCTGTTGAACTTGTGCAGGAATTTCTGAATGGTGTTTGTTTTCCTAACTCATGCTTGTTTTTTGTTTATTTTTCTTAACTGGGAATTTATGCTTGCTATATTTAAATGTAAATTGTCTCTTTATGCTTGATATTCTTTTTGGTTGGGATATATCTAAAGCTATGAGGTCTGTCATGGTGAGAGGGGCAGCTTCCATTCTGAATTGCTAACTGTAAAGGTCTCAGTGATTTTAAGAATTAATAATACTTATTTAATTTACATTTTATATATTGCAATCATATTTGAGATTGTAACCTTTGAGCATCTACCATGTGCTTGACATTGTGTGTCAGGGTCTTTCATTGTATCTTAGTTCATCTTTATACCCCTACCTAGTGGGTATCTATTTTGACCTCCATTGGAGAGTTAAGTAATTTGCTAAAATACCTGGTTATACTTCTACTGTCCTCATTTGCCATTTGAAAATAGGATTAGGATGGAAATAATTTGTAATGAAGGAAAATAAATAAAATCCAGAGATAATAAGCTTTTGCTACTTTCTAGACTTAAATAAGCTGGATGAATTTGGTGATTCTACGAAAAAAACCACAGAGGTAAGTGATTATTATCGGAAATCCACACTGAAAGAGCTTGTAAAAATTGGTTGTACTGTTGTCTTTCACGTCATACAATCTCAGATGGATCTGCTACAGCCAAGGTAGCATTTTGAGAGTAGTTTTTTGTTGGTCTTTAATGTCAGCACTAGTGATTATTTTCCCTGAGAACCGATGAATATTTTTAAAGAGAACTAGTACATATTTATTATTAATCACTTAACTGCAGAGAAATGGAAATGAATATGTTACTATACTACGGGGTGATATTATTATAGTATATTAATGTTATGAGATGGCATGTTAATATGCCACAGGTGGTACTATTAAATTGCACTTAATATGTTGTCATTTGACAAATAGGAAAATTGAGACAAAGGTAATTTAATTAAATATTTTTCCATGGGAGGAAAGTTGAATGCTTGTTTTTAGGCATCAGAGTTTAAAAACAATTTTAGAGGTCCCGTTTTTCACTGTCTATTTATGTGTATCTCCTCATTAGTGAATGAAATTGTAGGAGATGCATTCACGTCTCTCTTTGCATGTGTTCATGACCCCCACCTTTTCTCACAGTAGCATTTGAAAGCTTATTGGCCTTCAACTGTTGCACTTTTAAAAAAATAAACTGAGTATTCTCTGACACTCACTTCTTTTCCAGACAGTGAAACATGACTCTGCTGCAGTTGATCGGTCCATGGAGTGTCTTCTCACAGTACGGGGTGATCTCGATTTTGCTGAGCAGCTATGGTGCAAAATGAGTAGTAGTAGGTGTCCATCAGGATTGTGAAATAAAATTTTTCCTGTTATTTCTTAGGTTTACTTTTAAGTCTTTTGAAAATAATACAGTGTGTACTGCTAGTCTTGTGTGGACATCTGGTTCCTGTTTTGTCAAACTCATTTCTAATAATGCATTGGCACATTTTACTCAAGAATTTTCCTAAGACAAGGCAATTCATAGAACCTGTTCTTTTCTCTTGCCGGAAGTATAAGACCTAGGTGGTTTTTATGCTGTATTTATATGAGCCAAAACATATACCTTAGTGAAATTATAATTATTAGGAAAAGATATTCCATAATATTGTACTAAGTATGTTATTTTATGGCAATGGGTTTAATTTCTTTCTTTAAAAATGCTTTTTTTGGGGGGAGGGGGGCTTTAATTTCTTTCCCCCTTCCCCATCTGTAAAGTTCAGATACTTGTCTTCCACTTCATTTGTGTATTCTTAAAATGAATGACATATTTGATCTGCAGAAATAACCATGAAGGTAATGTTAGACTGACTTGCTTTCCAAGGTGTGATTTCTTATCAAGACTTGGTGAAGTGTTTCACGTTGATCATCCAGAGTCTACAGCGTGGTGATATACAGCCATGGGTAGGTTTAGTAGTGTGTGTGAGAACCTTTTCTCAGCAGCATCACAAACTGGTTAAGGACATAAGCTCTGGAGCAGACTGCCTGAGTTTGAATTCTAGCTCTGCCACTTTCTAGCTGTGTAAACTTGGACAGGTTCCTTAATTCATGTGAAGCACTTAGCACCTAGTTCATAGTTAAGTGCACAGTATTTGTAAGCTACTAATATTGTTGTTACTGTTGCTATGAATGATTGTTCTCATATACTACTTATGAGAGTACAAATTGGAACACTCTCTAAAAAGCAATTATGATAATGTATTGAGATCCTCGAAATGTAGCCATCCTAAGGCCATACACAGGAATATGTATCAAGGTTTTATGTATCATGATAGTCATTACAGCCTCATTTACAGTAGCAAAAGTTGTAAATGACCTGAATTTTCACTATTAATGGAATGCCTAAGTAAATAATGATATAGCCACATAATGGCACATGTAATAGTTGCTACAGATGATGTGGAGAAATGCTTACAGTGTTCAGTAAAAGGAAAGGATTATACACTATTGTATAAAAAATATAAATTTTGGAGAGAAAAACCCGGAAACAAATACACTAAAATATGATAGTCACCGCTGGTGGTAGGGTTACAAATGAGTTTCTCCAACTGCATTATACATTTCTGTACTTCATGGATTTTCCATAGTGAATTTGTGGTTTTATAATGAAGAAAAATCTAAGGTAAAAGCTAGAAACAAAACAATTCATCTAATAGGAATTATTTTAAATAACACAACTGCCAATTCATGACAATGACAGAAACTTTCCGAGGTGTGAACGGAGATACACTCCAGAGCAGAAGCATGCAAACCCTACCCCTATTTGGCATTAGTCATTCTATGCATTTTAGTCTTGCCCATCGAATTTTTCTCTTGAGAGTTTCTGTGTTTGTGAGATATTTACAAGTATATCGCTACCATGTACAACAAGTGCAAAGTGAAAATAGTATTAAAAAAAAAGAAAATGCAGAAGATTGTGTTGGAAATTAGAGATAACAGAAGGACAGTAATGAGAAAATGTCAAATATTTTAGGTGATGAAAAACGTAAGCTTATAAGTTTTAGCTTTTAGCTAATGCAGTTTGTTTCTCTTTTGCTCACTGGACTTTTTATATTTGTATTTGTGGCTTTATAAACTTTTCCCAATTTCTAGCTTCATAGTGGGAGTAACAGTTTACTAAGTAAGCTCATTCATCAGTCTTACCATGGAACCATGGACACGGTTTCTCTCAGTGGGATTGTTCCAGTTCAGATGCTTTTGGAAATTGGTTTGGATAAACTGAAGAAAGATTATATCTGTTTTTTCATAGGTAAGTCCATTTCCCAGCTCAAAAAATTAAAAGCTGCATCACAAAAAATTAAAAGCTACATAGGTATTCTCAGATTTTATCTTTGTACTTGTCCCTAATTGTTTGTAGTCCTGGCTTTGCCCCTGGTTCACTGTGAGACAGGCACTCCCATTTTTTGAGCCTTAGTTTCGTGCTCGATAAAGATATTATATTTAAAGATAACTATAGTTTTTGTTTGTCTTTAATTCAAATGTTTTGAGATTCTTTGAGGTTAATGTAGTAAATAAAAAACGCTTTTTATTTTAATACCCATTACTTGGTTGTTTTTATTAGGGGCAAACTGTGATCATTTTTAGAATAAGTATTAATTTATATTTATGGTGTAATGTACCAGAAAATTTGGCTTTTTGTGAGAAACTGTTTAGCTTGAGCATTTCTTTTATATATGAACTATGAAATTTTTTTCTTAGGTTGCTGAATTTGTAATAGATAATACCTAAGGCTTATTTGCATATATGTGTTTTCTCTTCATAGGCCAAGAACTTGCATCTTTGAATCATTTGGTGAGCTTTTATTCTAAAGTTGGTTTTTTCTTTATTCGGTCATTCTGCATACAGTTATTAAGTGTCTATTCTGTGCCAGCCTCTGTTCTAGGAAACAGATAAATTAAGACAGGCAATTACACTGTCTAATATGACAGATAAAAAGGTAGCCTACTCAATGTCACTTCTCATTCTTTATAAATGTATGATACTGACATAAAGTTGTATCCTGCTTATTAAACCAATATACTCCCACAACTCTCGTTTATCTAAAACAGTTAAGGAATGCCTTTCTTTGATAGGCCTTATAAGGGAATATTTGCTTTATATTCTCTTGACCCATTTCTTTTACACGTGAAGGATTACTTTCCAGAGAATTTGTTATGTTCCTTAACATATTGATTCAAAAGATGCTTCTGATATATGTGGAACCTAGAAAAATGGTACAGATGAACCGGTTTGCAGTGCAGAAATTGAGACACAGATATAGAGAACAAACGTATGGACACCAAGGGGGGAAAGCGGCGGGGGGTGGTGGTGTGATGAATTGGGAGATTGGGATTGACATGTATACACTGATGTGTATAAAATGGATGACTATTAAGAACCTGCTGTATAAAAAATAAATTAAAAAAAAAGATGCTTCTGGGTTTCAGGGTCATGATTATGAACTTTTTTATTTTCCTAGTGTCTTGATTTAGAAAGTTAAGGAGATTAAAGAGCATCCATAAGGACCCTTGACATTTGTTGTAAGATTCTTTTAGAAAATGGATCTTCAGATGACATCTGGTCTCTTATAAAAATGCCAAGATAGGAAAATTCTAGCTTTATCTATTATGCAAAGTAAGACTCAGCTGGATTCTTTTGAGGTTAATTTTTGCTATTCAGAGTTTAAACATTTTTTAAGGGTGTATATTTTTAATGGAAACTTTTAATACATTTTGTATACTTAGAAAAGTAATAACATTTTGAAAATTAGAATAAAATGCAAATACACCCTTAATCTCAGCACTCAAATATGAGTACCCTCATTTTTATGAATTCCCCTCAAGTCATTTAATATGCCTGTTTTTTAAAATATGGTTTGACTCCAGAATTTTTTTTTTTTTTTTTTTTTTGGCTGCATTGGGTCTTTGTTGCTGCGTGCGGGCTTTCTCTAGTTGTGGTGAGCAGGAGCTACAGTTCGTTGCAGTGCGCGGGCTTCTCATTGCGGCGGCTTCTCTTGTTGCGGAGCACAGGCTCTAGGCGCGTGGGCTTCAGTAGTTGTGGCTCACGGGCTTAGTTGCTCCCCAGCATGTGGGATCTTCCTGGACCAGGGCTAGAACCCGTGTCCGCTGCATTGGCAGGCAGATTCTTAACCACTGCGCCACCAGGGAAGCCCCCGACTTCAGACTTTTGACACAATAGTTCTTAAACTTTGAGAATCTCCTAGAAGGCTTGTTAAAATGCTAATTCCTGGGCCCCAGTGACTCAGTAGGTCTAGGGGCTCTGGAATATGTCTTTTTTTTTTTTGGCCACACTGCACAGCTTGTGGGATCTCAGTTCCCTGACCAGAGATTGAACCTGGGCCGCGGCGGTGAAAGCCCAGAATCCTAACCACTAGGCCACCAGGGAACTCCCTAGAATATGTCATTTTAAACAAACCATCTCCATCTCCAGATGATTCTGATGCAGGTGGTTTGCAGATATATTAGTTTTCTATTGCTGCCGTAACAAATTACCACACACTTAGTGTCTTAAAGCAACACACACAAATGTATTACTCTGTAGTTCTGTAGTTCGGAAGTCTAGTCTGGGTCTCACTAGGCTAAAATTAGGGTGTTGGCAGGCTGTGTTCCTGTCTGGAGCCTGCCTGTAGGGGAGGATCCATTTCCTGCTCATTTGAGTTATTAGCAGAATTCAATTCCTCATAATTATAGGACAGAGGTACCTTTTTCTTGCTGGCTATAAACTGAGGACTGTTCCCGACTTCCAAGGTCCAACCCATACCTTGGCTCCTGGCCCCCTTCTTCCATCTCCAAAGGCAGCTCTAGTGGGTCAAGTCCTTCTCGTGCTGTGTCTCTGCCTCCCTCATCCAGTTTTAAGGGTTCATATGATTCGATTGGGCTCACCTGCATAATCTAGGATACTTTCCCAATTTTAAGGTCAAATGGCCGTATACATCTGCAACCTTAATTCCTTTTGCCATAAATGTAACATATGCACAGGTTCTGGGATTAGGACATGAACATCTTTTGAGGGTGGTTTTCTGCCTGTTACAGCAGGCCACACCTTGAGAAGCCCTCACTAGGCTGTACTGCCTCTAAGTAATCAGTAACATCAGGCTCTGTCACCTCTTCTCTGCGCAGGGTCTTGGGGACAGACCGAGGTAGACTAGGCGGGGTTGTAGCACGGGCAGAGAGAAAGGGGAAAGGCAATCTGGATCTGTTCCTTTGTGAAAAAGACCTGGGTGGGCCACTTCCAGAGCTGTCAGGGGACCACAGGGAATATGGGTGGCAGGTGTGGAGAACGTTGTAATCTGTAGCCTGTGGTGAGTGGGTCTGCTTTGGGGTACTTCTCTGCCTGGGACCATGCCTATTTTCCTACTTGTGTTATTTTCACATTTTGGAATAACCTGTGTAAGACAATTAATATGTCCCTATATTTTGGATTTACTTATAAATGATTTTGCATTAAATTAGTCTATCACATTTTGCATAGCTTCCTTTAAACTGTAATTTAGGATTACCCATGGATCTCTCCTACTCCCTTGCCATTACCTCCACTCAATTAAAAGATGACCATAGGGCTTCCCTGGTGGCGCAGTGGTTGAGGGTCCGCCTGCTGATGCGGGGGACGCGGGTTTGTGCCCCGGTCCGGGAAGATCCCACATGCCACGGAGCGGCTGGGCCCGTGAGCCATGGCCGCTAAGCCTGCGCGTCTGGAGCCTATGCTCCTCAACGGGAAAGGCCGCAGCAGTGAGAGGCCTGCGTACCGAAAAAAAAACAAAAGACCGTAACTTTTCCCTTACTGTATTAATTTTCAGTCGCCACCTAACAAATTTTAGAAGCTTAAATGAACACAAATGGATTATCTCACAGTTTCCAGGAGTTGGAAGTTGGGCACATTTTACCTGCATCCTCTGCTCAGGGTTTCACAAGGCTGAAATCAAGGTGTCATCTGGAGGCTTGATGAGGGAAAGATCCACTTTCAAGTTCCCTCGCTTATTGTTCGCAGAATTCATTTACTTGTGGCCCTTTGATGAAGGTCCCCATTTTCTTGCTAGCTGTTGGCCCAGGACTGGCCTCAGGTCCTAGAGGTTACTTGTGGGTTCTTACCATGTGGCCTTCTCCACAACGTGGCAGTTTGTTTCTTCGAAGCCAGCAGCAGAGCATCTCTAATGCTTCAAGATCTCACTGACTAGGTCATAGTAATGACCAGGCGATGCTCTCCCTTTTGATTAATTCAAAGTCAATCAGTAACCTAATCATGGGAGTAACAACCCACCATTTTTATAGATTCTGGCCTCACTCAGGGAGAATGGATTATACAAGACATGTATTCCAGGGGGTGAGAATCTTGGGGGTCATTGTAGAATTCCACCCACCATGTTTACCGTGGATTATTTCCTTAGGATTGGGTCTCAGAAATAGATCTGAGCATATTACGATGGCTTGACATAACATTGCCAACTTTCTTTTCCAAAACCTCATACCAGTTTACCAGTTAATATGTGTTAGTGGAAGCTTATCACTACACTTGCTTAATTTCTTGCTACTTGAGGTTTACTATCTATTTTTAGACATGAGTACTCCCATCAACCTAGCAAGTTTGTTGAAGTTAAGAATTATCTTGTGGATTTGCCATTCTTTCCATCTGGAGAGTTTGATGGGTGGTACTAGTTACCTACTTGGACCTCCTTGGTGAAGCAGCTCTGTGATTTGCCTTTACCAGAGAATATGTATAATGGTTTGCTTAGAACATTCTCAGTGAAGACTTGGAGTTTAGTTTGAGGAACAGTATTGAAAGGAGGAAGGCTGTCTAGCTGCCTCCTGTCTTCTTTTTTCCCTCCCTATTAATCAGGCATCCATACTGAGGTTTAGTAGGCATGGTTAATTCTTTCCAGAGATTCCTCTTGTTCTTTGACCCCCTATTTTCCTTGTCCTTTTTTTCATTCCAGGAATATTTCATTTCTCCATCAGTAGATACACAAGAGCAGGTTCATCGTGTTCAAAAACTCCACCATATTCTCGAAATAGTAGTCAGTTGCATGCTTTTCATTAAACCTCAACATGAACTCCTCTTTTCTTTAACACAGTAAGTGTTTCTGTTGTTTACTTACATAAAAATGTGCTCTCTTCTGAAATAGTTGCAGCCAAAGTAACTGCCTTTTTTTTACTATCAGTTAGGATAGAATCTGTGTACCCTGTCTTCACGGTAACAGAAAGGTTCTATCTAAGTCACTGCCATGAGAAGGAAAGGCTTGGGATTCAGGAGGAATCAGGTTGGACACTTGGATCTAGCACTTCCTTTCTAAGGAAGTTTCCTTTCACTGCATCTTGTTTTTCATCTATAAAAACGGTGTAATGTATATAAAGTACTTGACACTTGAGGTGCTTAATAAATATTAGTTCCTTCTCTTTTTTTTATATCCTTATAAATTTGGGTCAAGCTAATCATTGCCAACCATCTATGCGGTAACTGAATGGAATCGAATTTTATTATCAGACCTCTGTCAATAGTGTTGCTGAAATTTTAGAGAGTTTGTCAATCAGTTTGACTAAAAACAGTATGGAATAATCCTTACACATGGATCGCTGGTGTCTTACATGTATTTTTTGAGGCTTCAAACTGGAAATAAGTGAACCATCCAGTGGTTGGGTTTATTTTTCCCTGTGGAAGGAAATGTACCATTTCCTTTTCCAAAATTAGAATTTGACTTACTTGTAAAGGGAAAAGTTTGAAATTGTTTTTGTTTTTTTTTCCATTAAAGATCAGTAGTATAGGTGAGTTAACTGTTTAATTCTCCATACTTGGAAAACAATGGAGACTATATCTTTGTCTCTCTTTTGCCTTTTTGTTTTTCTCTTTCTGATACCTCTTTCTCCCCACTTACACCTTTACTTGAGCTCAACATAAATATATTTTATATTTATGAGAAATATGTCCACTATTAATTTTTTTAAAGTGAATGAAATTTTCTTTCAAAAAAAATTAATAACCTAAGTGTTGTTGGGATGGGGGTTTAATGTTTCCTTTATGAGCTTTAGACTAACAGAAAGCCTTTATCTCCAAGTGGCATTTTTTTCCAAAAGCAATTCTTTTTTCTTTTTTTTTTCTTTTTAGATCCTGCATAAAATTTTATGAACAAAATCCTCTCGATGAGCAACATATTTTTCAGCTGCCAGTCAGACCAACTGCTATAAAAGACTTGTATCAAAAGTAAGCAATTTAATAATTAAATTATACTTCAAGTCCAGCCATGATTCTAGGCAATTTCAGTGTCTGCTCCATGGGGACCTCATGACCCAGAGTTGCTTCACCTCTGAAACCATAATCATCTGATTCCCATCCCCTGAACATAGTCTGATAGAGTCCTCCCTCTTCCTTCTCCCAGACCTGTGGTCTGCTCTCTTTAGACTCTTGGTCCTCTACTTTCATTTTTCTCTCAATTTGTAATTTCTTCACAGAATAGGGCAGAAACTTGAGCCAGAAGGGAAGTGAGAGGTTGGGAAGAACATGATCGGGGTAATGACAGCGAAGTCAGAGGTACGGCTGTGGGAGTAAGAGAAGGATCTGGGATTGGGGTTTGCGGAGGTATGGAGCTGAGGCTAAGACGGTAGATCGGCCATCCATGTGGGGCACCAAGGTTGCCTCAAATCATGGTCTCCACTGACTCTTCTCTCAGCATATAATAGACTTGAAATTTCTCTCACACTGAAGCCACTCCATCTATACCCTCCCTCTATATAGTTCCCTCTTAGCCAAACCTCATCACTCCCCTGAAATTGTTTAGCAGAAGTTGCCAGTGGCCTTCTAATTGGCAAATCCAGAGGACACTTTCCAGAAGAGTTTTTTGGCTCCTTGTGTAATTAGCTAGCCCACTAATTCTTTCTCCTTCCGTAAGCACTTGTAAGGCTCTGTGGCGTTCAATACTATTGCTGTCTTGAACCCATCCCCTTCCTTTGTTTTCATGGCATAACATTCTGTCTTAATTTTAACTCTGCCTCTCTGGCCCACTTCCAAGACTGAGAATGGTCCTCTTTTCAAATTCTTCTCCCTCTGCCTCATTCATATGTGAGTTTCCACCAGAACTCTACCCTCTGCCCTCTTTTCTTACTTCCTGTCTTCCCTGGGTGATTTCGTTCACACCCCAATCTTCAATTCCTCTGGGCTAATGATAATTCATAACCCATATCTGCAGCTTCTCCTGAGCTTCACACCCATGTTTCTAGGTGTCTGTTAGACATGAATTCTCAACTTTAACGTCCTGTAGGTAGTTCAGACTCTAAATCCCAACTCTTCACTCCCATTCCTAACACGTTTCCTCTTCCCATATGACCTCTCAAGCGGCCATCATTAATCTCCACCTAATGCCCAAAACAGAAACCTAGGACTTATCTTCCACTTATTGCTGTCACTTCCTTCCTCCTTGAAATGGTTTCCAAGTCCTGACCTCCTTGGAAGCTCTTGAATCTGTTCCTTTCTCTACATCTTCGCATCTGTTTCATATCTGCTCATCTCATACCTGGGCTGAGTGCAGTAAAATCCTTTTTCCTAGCTGCTCTGTCTGCCTCCATTAACTTCCTTCTCTGTGACCGCCAAAGTGATCTTCCTAAAATCAGATCCCATCATGACTTCCCTGTTTAAATGGCTCCCTTACCTTTAGGACAGTGTTCCATCACCTCAGTGTGGTCTGTGAGACCTCTGTGCCCGGCCGCTGTGCCTTTCTGGTTCACGTGCCACCACACCTTCCCACTCTCCTTTTGAGTCAGAGACCCTATGTTACTGCGTTTCCTCAGACACCGCACACGCTTACCTGACAGTGCCTACGCCTGTGTCCTTCTTTCATCCTGGATCTTGTCTGCTTAACTAACTTCTCCTTCTAATTTCATTATAAGCTCAGCTCAAGGACCACAATATCTGAGGATTCTTTTCCAACTCTACAATCCCAATCTGAGTTAAATTACCCCTCGTGTATTGTCCCCTCCCATGTCTGATATTTCTCTATTACAACATTTTTCAAAATTGAGTTGTTATTGTTTATTTAATTTTTATTGAAATAAAGTTGATTTACCATATTGTATTAGTTTCAGGTATACAACAAAGTGATTCAGTTATACATACTATTTTTTTTTCAGGTTCTTTTTCATTATAGGTTATTAACAAGATATTGAATATAGTTCCCTGTGCTATATAGTAAATTCTTGTTGTTTATCTCTTTTATATATAATGGTGTGTATCTGTTAATCCCATACACCTAATTTATGCCTCCACACCCCTTTCTCCTTTGGTAACCATATAAGTTTGTTTTCTATGTCTGTGACTCTGTTTTGTAAATAAATTCATTTGTATTATTTTTTATATTCCACATTTAAGTGATATCATATAATATTTGCCTTTCTCTGTCTGACTTAATTCACTCAGTATGATAATCTCTAGGTCCATCCATGTTGCTACATATGGCATTATTTCATTCTTTTTTTTTTTTGCACACGGAATGAATATTTTATTACTAGATTATGAAAGTAAAATACAATAATTTTAAAACAGAACTTAAAACACTGTACAAAGCTTTAATGTGACACAAATGGGAAAATTAAATTAATTAATTACACATTTATGTACAGATGGCCTGTACAAAAGCACTCCATGTTTCTGCCAATACTCTATGTCCTTGTTTGCCTGAACAAAAATGCATAAAGAGGGCTGCTTGGAGGGGAAAGAGGTACAATACAATACCTTTAGAGGTATTTGAAAGAGCCGTTTCTCATCATTCTTGATTTCATGAAGAGGAGAAGAAAGGGAGAAAACTATGGAATTGTTAAATTATTCTATTCTAACTTACTGGTCTTGCTCAACAGGAGAGAATACTTATGGTTTGTGGTTCCATCTGATTTAAGAGCTGCCAATAGTTCAAAACTTTCAAGATTTATATCTAATTCAAAAAGTAGGTGTTTCCCAACTCCCCGTTTTTCCCTAAAAGCTGTGAACTTGTAAGTAAATGACCCAATGACATCAGCACTTGGTTATTTTAGGAAAGGAGTCACGAGGGGGAAATGAGGGAGCTCAAGCCTAGGTCATTTGTTGTTTTCTTTACTTGGTTCACTCAATCCAATTTCAGAGCCCCAAGTGGCACAGTGTTATATTTCCTTTAGCTTCCTATCTTTGTATCTCTGAATGCTTTTTACCTTAGTGAACTAATTTACCTAACTGGTGAATAGTTTAAAAAGAAAAAAATCCCAAGGGCTTTCCCTTCCCTGGGTTGATCCCTAAAATAAATCACATTCAAGCTCTGGTAGGTTTGTTTATCCCTTGTGGATGAGAGAAGAACAGACAGACCCCAGGTATGTCAAAGTACTATGCATGAATTTTTAAGGATTTAAACTGTATATTTTAAGGGGGAGAAAAGCAACATATGGCAAGGGTAGTCTATATAAAAATTTGGTTTACCCAGTGTTTTTAACTGGGTGAGTGAACACTTATGTACACGGTATGAAACAATATTAAACTACTGAAAAGAGAGATAAAATTTCCTACTGTTATTGTGTAAAATTATGTCATCAGCAAATTCTGTAGTCACATGGGCTCAAAGGTCTGCCTCACTGAATCCTATTCTCTAGGTCAAGGAATCCAGAACCCTGGCCCAGGGTATCTGAGAGATATGTCAGTATCATCTATCATCAGTGATACATACTGTGCCCATACTGTTATGGCTGAGTAGTATTCCATTGTGTGTGTGTGTGTGTGTGTGTGTGTGTGTGTGTGTGTGTGTGTGTGTGTGTGTGTGTGTGTGTGTGTGTGTATATATATGTGTATGTATGTATGTATGTATGTATGTATATATACAGGCACCACATCTTTATCCATTATCTGTCGATGGACATTTAGGTTGCTTCCATGTCTTGGCTATTGTAAATAGTGCTGCTGTGAACATTGGGGTGCATGTATCTTTTTGAATTAGAGTTTTCGTCTTTTCTGTATATATGCCCAGGAGTAGGATTGCTGGATTATATGGTAGTTCTATTTTTAGTATTTTTTAAGGAAGCTCCATATTGTTTTCCATAATGGCTGCACCAATTTGTTATCATTTACATTCTTGTTTCTCTCCCTCTTTTGACTGTGCTTCTTGAGGGTGGGAATTGTGACCTCTCCACCGCTTCTTCCTCAGTGCTTACCACAGAAGGACTTCACTATGTGCCTATAGAAAGAATTGGATTGGGTTTTTTTCTTTGCTTTTTTTTCTTTCCTTAGTGAGAAGCCACAGAAATGGAGAGTGGAAATAAACAGTGGTCAAAAGAAGGTGAAAACAGTTTGGCAACTGAGTGACAGCCCACCTGTAGATCATCTGAATTTTCACAGACCTGGTAGAGATGGTTTGTAGTCTATTTACGTAAATTATTCCAATAGAAAATAAACTAAGTTTATAGTAGAGATTATTATTAGAGCTCTTGCGCCTAGTTTTAAATAATTTTCCTGAACTCTAGGTATAAACCTATTTATTCTGGGGGAAAAAAAAAACATGAAAGAGTGCTTTTTCTCATTATCCTAGCTAGAGGAAATTTTATTAAAAGACACCAAGCAATAGGGACGTAGGTGTGAAAATAGGTTATAAAATGGAAATGCCAGCTCATACTTCACACTTTTGTGCACCGTTTAAAACAGTGATGATATTTCTGCTCTAATACCTTCTCTGTGGCAGGAATAAGGGTTGAGATTTCTAGTATTGTATCAAAGATTATGTGTGTCAAAGAATGTCTTTTTGCCCCTGGTATAATTAGCTGACCCACCAGTTAATTATACCTCCTTCCGTAAGTACCTATAAAACTGTTATCTTTATGCACATGGATTGTGTGGGGCTGTCATCTCTTATTTGTATAAGTCTTAAATGGCTGATTCAAATATTGCAAGGATTATCCAAAATAAAATCTGATAGTTTAAGACAGAATTGAAGGGTATTTGAAAGCTGGGAATACAAATAGTCCTATTGTAGTGCTTGATATTTTGCAAAATTATTTCCAGAAATTGTTTATTCTCCCCACCCAGTATATTTTGATTCAGGCATAATGGGAACTTCTCTATTCATATGGCTGAACTGTAAAAGTCCTAAAGAAACCAAATTTTCCTGAGAACCATCAGTTAAGATCGTGCTATCTTTTCTAAGTGTGATATAAAAGCTGGAGCCTATAAAAGATTGAAAATGAACTGTATAAAAATAAAAAAATTTCTGCGTGGCAAAAAGTACCAGAGGCGAAGCAACAGACAAATGATAAACTAGGAAAAGAAATTTGCAGCTCATGTTCAGAAAAGGGGCTACATTCTCTAGTATATAAAGATCTTTCAGATCTGTAAGAAAAGTATTAATAACTCAGTAGAAAAAAATGGGCAAGTAATATGAACTGTTTACCAAAAAGGAAATTTAAATGACATCTTAAAAGCAAAAGGTGATCAACCCCACCTATAATAAGAGAAATGCAAATTTATATTCTGTAGATACCATCTTTCACCTGTCAGATTAGCAGAGATCAACATGTTTGGTGTCACAGTGCTGGCTGGGATTTGGGGGAACCTCACGCACTGCTGGATGGAGTGTAAAGTTGTATGGCTTTTGTGGAGGGTGATATTCACCAGAATTTTAAAGAATATATTCTTTGGACCACCAGTTCCATTAATAGGAATCTATTCCACATATATAACCAGACATGTGCAAAAAGGCCTGTGGACCAGATCACTAATTGCAGTGTTGTTTACGGTAGCAAAAACATGGGCCTGGGCCATAGAAAAACCTCTGAAAGGAGGCAACTAAAGCTCAACCCTGAGGTGTGGAATGATGAGGGCAGGGGTGGGTCTCAGCTTTGATCATTAGAAGCATGTGGGGAGCCTTTAAAGTCCTAATACCCAGACCAAGTGACTCAGAATCGCTGGAGGTAGAGCCTGGACATCAGAACTTTTAAAGTTCTCCACGTGATTTCATTGTGCAACGAAGGTTGAAGACCACCAGTTTAAACATTTTATTTTATCTATATTTGTTGTTTCAGGTTTTTTTTCTTAAAGACATGTGTGTTATGATTTTAAAAGTTTAAAAGACATGAATAAATGTGATGCATTTTTCAAAAATGCCATTTTAAAATAAATTTTATTATCTTAAGATTAAACCTATTAGGAGATTAATACAAGATTAAACACCTTTTCCAATGATGCTGAATAAGTGAAGTATACGGAACCTATCTTCTAGAGTCTTTTTTGTTTTTTTAGAGTCTTTTTAATGCAGGTTGCTTCAAAAAAGAATGAAAGTTGTTTTGAATGTTAGAGTTAAAACTATTTGCTAATGTATTGGTCCAGTGACTCCTTTTATGAAAATAAGGAATTTTTATGAAATCATATATTTACGTGCTTGGAAACACACTCATACTCCATTTTGACTTGAACTTCATAACCTCTTCTACCCATTATGTATTCTTGATGTGTTTGTCTAGAAATTATTCAGTGACCTTTGGCCCAAACCAAGACCCACTGTTAAAGGAGGACTTCATTTGTAAAAGTCATAGATTATTCAAACAAAGCCTCAGTTGTAGATATTCAAGTCCAATAATCATTTATTTTTGGCCAAAGATCATAGGCATTTACAAAGTTAGACTTTCTATTTCATTGGACTGAGCACTTAGGTCAAATACTAGCTTTTCAAGATACCTAACGGTATGATGCTCTTGAGTAAAACAGTTGACATCAAAAGCAGGAAGACTGAAGAGAGAAAAGTGTACTTTTAGCTGCCCTGGGAAAAGAGAATAATGACTTGGAGTTAATGGGGGAGAAAAACAGTGTCCAGTAGAGTGCTGCTCACCCAGTGGGTGCTCAGCAAATGATTGCTGGTAATGGTGGGAATATGGAAACCAAAATGTTGACCCACAAGGAAGTGGACATGATCTCATCTAAATGTTAATTGTATCATTTGATTTTGAAATACAACAATCTTCAGGAGAAAAAAATGGATATGTGTCTAGCCCTAAGACTATAAATCCTAAGTAGAAAATGTTTTCTGAAATATATATTACAATTGGAAGAAGACAGTTATATTTAACTGTAGTGGAGGAGGCATTAAAAAATAGAGCAGTAGCTTACCAAGTTAAAAATATATAATTTGGCGGAGGGGCGGGGAGCTGCACTGTGCAGCCTGTGGGATTTTAGTTCCCTGGACCAGGGATCCAACCTGGGCCCCCAGCAGTGGAAGTGTGGAGTCCTAACCACTGGACTGCTGGGGAATTCCCCCTGAATATATAATTTTTAAAAATCTACTTTAGTTTGTTTGGTCATGTTTTCAATGCATCAAGAGGGTTGACTATTAAAAGGAATTGTCTTTGCTGATTTTTGTCTAACAAGTTCTTTTAAAGTAGAAGACACATCATTCAGACTACCTCTTGATTGTTGTAAAATTCAGCAGTAACTTAGCAGAAAAACAATTCAATGAATTGTTGATGAATTCAATTCTGATCTCTCTCTCTGGTTATAGATTTTTCTGAATTAACATTAAACGGTAGCCTGGAAGAAAGGATATCGTTTACTAACATGGTTACCTGCAGCCAGGTGCACTTCAAGTGAAGTGTGCTGATGGGGCCCTCTGTAAGGTAGTATGTTCACTTTTGGTTCTCTGCAAATACTTTATAATGTCTTAAATACCTTACTTTTTTCTTTTTTTCTTTCTACAACATAAATGCTGATTTAATACATTTGGAATATGGATTATTAGTAATCACATAAAAGGCTTACCAGGTGTTACTGAGCAGTGCACATCTTTAATTTCCTTTCTACCTTCTGTAATCAACTGACAATTTAATCCTAAAACCAGAGAAATGAAAAATATTTTTTTGAGTGGTAATGTCTTTGCATTTGAAATCTGTATATATAGTAGAAGGAGAGTTTGGTCTCAAAACCATTGATGGAAGAGAAAAACCCTAAACAGGCATGCCAATTTGACACTGAAAGCAAAGTTTTGTTAAAAACAGTTGTAACCCAGCCCAATTGTAGGACTAAGTCCCAGATGTAGATACCCTTTTTAAAATGTTTAACTTGAGGTAGTATTAACCAAAAGAATTAATGGAATAGCCTTTTCTACGATCTTACTGTTTTTGTGTTTCACAAACAACATTAAGTAGAATCAGATAATGAATAAAATGCCTAACGTCATTCTTTCTCTTAAGCTGTGTTTTGTACCCAAATAGATGGATGTTAATTTTAGCATTTTAGCATAGTTAAGAATAAAATGGACTTAGAACAAACAGAATATTTAGTTACAGAGAAGATATATAAATTAATCAATATATAATATTTCTTTGAGGTATTTCATTGAGTAAAGGATATTAATTTAGCATAAGAAAATTTCTTTTAGAAAAATATATATGCTCATTTACTTGGTACCCACCTAATGCTTTTTCATGGTTGCCTGATAGGATTTACAGTCTGAAAGAACTGTTATATCTAAAGGATTGACTTTGTCCATCATGTGTAGGGCAGTGCTAATGTGGCAATCATTTCTACATTAAAATAATATTTCCAGACAGATTTTAAAATGAGATAAGTTACAAAACAGTTTGTGCACTGTGATCCCTTTTTGCAAAATGAAAATCAATGCATAATATACATCAAAATATTAACATTGACTTTGAGAGGGGTAAGATTACAGGTGATTTTTATTTCATTTACGCTTATTTTTATTTTCTAATTCTTCAATCAGCTCAAGCCAAAAAGAGAGAGAGAGAGAGGTGGTGGGAAGGTAATTATCACAGAACCTGAAAACAGATGTATGTAAACCTTCGAAGGAGAAAAAGGAGGAAGATCCTGAAGAAGATCCCAAAGGTTCTCTGTGAAAGATGCAGCTACAAAATGGATGACCCTGTCTCAGCTCAGGCTCCGCAGCAGAAGCATCAGGAGAACTGCAGCGATTAGTATACAGAGGGTGCAGACTGTAGGTACCATGATCTCCGTCATGATCTGCATGTAACTTAGAAAAGGCTCTGCGGAGGGGGAGAGAGCAACATGGCAGATGAGAATGTGGTCATTTTGGCGAATGCAGCTTCATCCTGAAAGCTTCAGTTGTCTGGATAAACTTGGAAAATGGCATCATCACACTTGCTAATTATTCTCATTTGCTCTAAAAGAGAACCTGGTAAATGTTATAAAAAAATTATGTGAGGGCTTTGTAAGATATTTCAGAAAATATGGATTAAGAATGCTTAAATCTGGTTCTTCCATAGGTACTGTAATAAAGTCTAAATGTATGTCAATGCTAGTGCTTACTCAGAATATTAGCAGCCAAATTCCTCAGTTTCTATAATTCTCTTTGGGGGGATTTAGGAAAGAAAATTCCTTGGAAAACATTTGCATCCTTTGAAAAATGTTTATTGTATATCTTAAGAGGTATAGGAGTTTCTGCATTGAAAATTTTTATCGTCATTCTTAACACAGCTAAACAGTCTTTAAGAGTTAAATGATAAGCATATTTCATGTGCGTAAACATTGTAGTGGACATTTACGAAATACCTGCTTTTAAGTTTTGTGCCAGGCACCCTTGGTTACCGAGATAAATAAGGCACAGGCCCAATTCTCATGGAGCTCACGGGCTCAACAGTAAATTCTACATCATGTCTCTACATTAAGTTTATTTTAGTTTAATGGAATATACATCTTTAATATTTGCCTGATTATTTAGATGAGGGGGGAGGGGACAGTGGTATATTGGCCTGTAAAAATAGTTGAATTGGTAGGATTTGGTCTAGCATTTTCCACCTCTGATACCACATGGAAGATGAATTCATTAAAACAGGAAGTGTATTTCTCTGGTTGCCCTTATATAGAGAGAAAGACAAAATTCAAAGAAACAAATGATATGCGTTGGCATTTCTTGATGCATGGTTACATCCTGGTTATTCTACATCTCTGATCCTTTTAGATCCTATTGCATTAGAAATGCCTTCTGTGAGAGCAGGGACCTTGTTTATTGCTATGATCCCAGGGCTTAAAACACCCTTGAGTCAATAGTGACTGCTTCATAATTACTTGCTGAATGAGTGAATATAATATCTATAGAGTGTTTGATTTTTCTTCATTCCATTTGGTATAATGGTTGAATTTCTCCCTCCTTCCAACAAAGCCCACTATAACACAATAGTAGATTTATAAATTTACAGTATGATTCAGAATCAAACTAGAGTAGATAAATTTATAAATAGTAGATTTATAAATTTACAGTATGATTCAGAATCAAACTAGAGTAGATATTTCTTTTGCATGGTATATAAATATATATATATATATATTTGTTGTTGTTGTTGTTGTTGTTTTTCCGGTACGCGGGCCTCTCACTGTTGTGGCCTCTCCCATTGCGGAGCGCAGGCTCAGCGGCCATGGCTCACGGGCCCAGCAGCTCCGCGGCATGTGGGATCTTCCCAGACTGGGACACGAACCCACGTCCCCTGCATCGGCAGGCGGACTCCCAACCACTATGCCACCAGGGAAGCCCTCATGGTAGATTTTTAAAACATATTTTAAGTGCTGATAGAAATTTGACATTGCTTCAAAGTAAAGGAAAGTCCATTTCTAATCATGTGGTTTTGGAAGACTTAAGGTGGGTCCACATTTTGAGATTTTGGTAATACCATTACATACGTAATTACATGATTTAATTATCAAAGAATTAAACTCACCTGCAGCAAGCATCTGGTTGTTGATAGAGCAAGTTTCCAAGGCTTTGAGGTACCAACTTTCCACCTAATAAAAACCCACTTGATAAGTTGTCTTAAACTAGTTTTTTGCTGTTTGAAATCATGTTTGGAATAATATGGGGTAAGAAATATATTTTTTTAATCTGCTCGTAGTTTAAATCAGTTAATAGTTATTGAATGCCTATGTGCATCATTGTGAGGGAGCCAAAGAACAGTTTTTATTCTTGAACTTATAATCTAGCTCTCTTTTTCTAATAATGCAATTACTGTCTTTTCTAGTAATGCAAAACTAGTGAATACCTGATAGTTATCAGTTACTGCTTCTACTTATAGTCCCACTAGGCTCACTCTAAAGAATGTTGATAAACAAATGAGGTTTTTTTTTTTAATTAAGACACTCTAAATTACAACTTATATTCCCTGCCATTAGGTGCAGCAGCATACAGAATAGAGAGCTGATAGAAAAATTTGTAGGTTATTGAAAATGGGAGGTTTTAAAGGATTTTTTTTATTGTTACTTTCAATCTCATTTTGGAACCAGTGCATTTGTATCACTGTACAATTTGGTGGGAAAAGAAGTGAAGATTATGCGGTCATTATATATTCAATTTACTTAACTTTTCATGTATGTTGAAGAATAGGTGGTATTTGTTTGCATTAAGATACAACATTTAGGATAACATTTAAATCACAGTTTCTGTTGACTGTCATAACCTAAAGTAAACAGGACTCCTGCATAACCCTAGTCTGCCCTTAATGCTCTGTGTGCTAGGATTGCATTTTACAGTGTCCTTACCCCATTCTAAGCAAATAAGCAGAGAGGTGGTGAAAGGGGAAGAAACAACAGGCCCACTTGCCAAACTCTACACCCCAGCTGCCTAGCTCTTCTAAAATCCAGAATGAGTAACACTGATAATTATTCCTACCTCTCGAGGATTGGGAAACCCATTGGCAGTGATAATCTTCTTGTAGTATTCAACTGAAGCCTTTGGATAGCGTGGCCTATTTTTCTTGTTGAAATCGACATAGTAGAATCCATATCTATCTGAGTATCCTCTCTCCCATTCAAACTTATCCAACAGAGACCAGGAAGTATACCCTTTTATATTAGCACCATCTTTGATAGCTGCAAAGACATTCCATTTTTAATATATTTCATTTTCTTGGAAAAATAGTATTGCGAAGATAATCTTAAATGTTTTCATCTATGAGATTTAGAAACATGTTTTAGTCAATCGTGTATTATCAGATTTTGCCCAAGTTAAATAGAAAGATATGTGAAGACCGTTTGTATCTCACCTTTTAGCATTTCATTTGTGTATCCTTTAAGGTATTGAATTCTCCACTCATCACATAATTGGGTACAGTGTAGTTTTTGAGATGCTCCATTTTCTGTCACATATATGGGTGGATTGCCGTATTGAGTCTGAAAGGAATCATGGGAACACATATTGAAGGCTGCCATATTCTAACTGGGTGTGTTTAGCGTTTAGTAGACGCCACTTAACATGTTTATTTAGAGGTGAGTGTAGGCAGGAGGCAAGTTCATATAGAAGAATATATTTCTTGACAAAGCATCATTTTAGAGAAAATATGCTTCAGGTCTTGTTCTTTCCCACATATTCCAGTACAGGTGAGAAGAGCAGCAAATAACTAAATATGAGATAAGAATTTTAAAGTTTTATATATAAACATGTATATTTTATATATATATACATATATATAATCATATGAAATATGTGCATGTTATATTACATGAATATAATTTATATAATGTATAACAACCATGTATATGATCTATATATATGATTATTCACAGTAGGCATTCATCTTTTTTTTTTTTTTTTTTTTTTTTTTTGGCCATGCCGTGCGGCATGCAGGATCTTACTTCCCTGACCAGGGATCGAACCCGTGCCCCTTGCAATGGAAGCACCGAGTCTTAACCACTGGACCACTAGAGAAGTCCACTTTAGTCTTTTTTGTTGTTTTCTTTCTTTCTTTCTTTTTTAGTCTTTCTTTAAGGCCTATATCGAGGAGCTTCTGAAGTATAAGTAACTGGGTTTTTAAATTAACTTTAAAATATAGGCACCTGAGCTTATACTATAAGAACATGAATTCAGGTAAAAAAATGTCCTTTAGCTTAATGTAATAATCACCTGAGCAAAGTTGAGAAGCCTCCTAAATCCCCATGGCACAGAATGTAGCCATTTAGACCCCAGATCAGGCCAGTTTGGGTCAACCAGTTCAACTAGGTCACGATCGTTCTGGTAGCTGGGCCCCTGGCGAGCGGGGTAGTTCCTTTCTGTGATGTACCGAGTCGTAAAATGACCTAATCCCAAGAAATCAGATGTGCCTTTAATGTAGCTCTTTTCCTGGAGTGAGAACACCGGTAACCTCGACATATCCAGGCCTTGCTCTGCACTCTTTCTTCCTAATGAGAGAAGAAAATAGAATTTAACCAAGTTTTATTTCCTCACAATCATTCTCTTGTCATATACCATGATGATACTGGCATGTTGACATGAAAGCTGTTATCCAGATCCTGGGCTTTGGAATTCATCTGTGTGGAAATTATGACCTTAGCCTTTCAAACTGGAATTTTGACATTTGAATGCTAGCCAAAAATTTTTAAGTTTATATTGCTTAAAAGTAATATTTTCACAGATTACTCAGTAACGTGTGTGGACCATTGTGTAGCTATCTGGATAAAAAGAACTAGGTTATTCCTTACATCAAAAATTGGTAATTTTGCTTGCCTCTGGGAAGGGAACTGGAGGCCAGTGGTAGCATGGGGAGAGACACGGTCACGTTCAGGCCTTGTAGTGTAAGCTAACATCACCTCTGTGTTGGGCAATGTTGTCCTATCTTTCAAAATTGTAAAAGTGTGTGTCCTTTCACCGACCAATTCTAAATCTGCTTATCCTACACTTTACTCATGTAAAAGGATGTATGTACAAGGATCTTCATTACAGATTGAGTAGCAAAAGATTAGAAGCAACCTGAAGGTCTGTCAGGAGAGACTGGTTAAAAACACGATGGGATATCCATCAGTACCACACTGTGCGGCCATGAGAATGAATGAGGCAGTGCTTCATACACAACAAGGACGAGCGCCAAGGCGGATGCTCAAGTGAAACAAAGATGCAGAGTGTTGCGTACATACAGTACATGCAAGTATATGCACATACCGAGCAGCAGTGTTCTTGCTCACACGTGCACAATGCATCTCTGGAAGTGTACTTCCTTCTGGGGAGGATAGGAGCAGTGGGTGGGGGAGGGAAGGAAGCTTAACTTTTTTCACTTTTTTATACTTCAAAACATTGTGAAACATGTCCTTGGATAATCTATGCAAAAAAAGTTTAAAATCAATGTATAAAGAGAAGTCACATTTTTATGAGTTGATCTAAAATGTAGCCCTAAAAATGTTTCCAAAGAGACTGCTGGCTTAGATTAAATGAGTGAAAAGATTGCATTATTAAATTCCTTTAAATTATTAGCATGTTATTACTTTCAGTTACATGTAGTAACTTGAGAAAAACCACAGGAATTGTCACTGTAGTGTCTACTACAGTAGCCACTCAGCATATGTGGCTACTGGGATATGGCTAATGTGACTGCAGCTTCAACTCAGTCACACTGAAGGATTGAATTTTTAATTTTGTTTAATTTGAATTTGAATAGACACAAATGGCTACAGACTATCATATTGAACAGCACAGATAGAGGACATGCAGAACATTTCCATGATCACCAAAAGTTCTATTGGACAGCACTCGTCTAGAATTACCTTTCTTCATATATTTATTGTGAATGAAGGGGTGCTTCTGAGATGCCTGGAAGTAATTTGTGAATGAGATTTCAGGCAGAATGCTTTCACTACTAAAGAAAATATTAACTGTTTTCTTTGTCAGTTATACTTAATAATGCTGAAACAAAAGAAAAAAAAAAAAGAAAAAACTACTTAAAGGATCCTTCTTTCCACATGGTATAAGGGAAAAATTGAGCCCTGTTCCCACTTGAATTATCATAGAGTTGGAGTTGGTGGGGTCTGGGATTATTGGCTTTAAGCCCAAGAATTTTTCTATGATAGGTAATCAATTTGGCTTTTTAGTACAATCTTGTAGCGCCTGCAGTGGCCTCTGAGGGTCCCAAGAGAGCAAACAGCATGTGAATGATGGGGTGTGTCTGCAGGAATGTTCCATATGGGCATTGTCCCATTGTGAGGGCTTTTTCCTTAGGCATCTTGAGGAAACCATTCTCAAGATTTTGAGTGCATGTGTACAGCACATGTCACAGAACTGGTTATTGTCAAAAGATTTTTAGAGATTATTTTGTCTAATCCCTTCATTTTTAGGTGATAAGACTGAGACAGGATGAGGTGAAGCACCTTGCTTAGAATCACTCACTGGTTAGTGGCAGAGTTGGAATTAGAACTTGCTGCCTCCTATTCCAGACAAGTCTTGATAAATGGTACTTTAGAAAGGGAAATTTTTGAAATGTTGAAACATTCTTAGTCAGACATCTAAAATAGCCTTGACGTATGATATATAGCCTATTTCACTGTCATCCTTGTCTTTTTTAGGGAGGTGTGGGCTGATACCTCTAAATCACAGTTATATATTTAGATTCCTATGGCCAGACACTGCTGGTTGCGTACCCAATAGACCCATGCCTGTCTTCTTCCATGCCCTCTTTTCTCATCCCCTTCCAAAGGGCCACATCCTTTCTGGGAGTCTTGACCCCTCCCCAGGCTCTGAGGCTCTCTAGCCCTGGTGGTCTAGGGCACCTTGGGGCATTTGACAGTTCTGTCCCTTGAGGCACAGCGGGAAGTCAGCTGGGAGTAGATGCTGTTTCCTGGGAAGATTTTCCTTGTTCTTAAAAACAGATATGACAGTACTATTCCCTTTTTTTCTGCCTCAGGGTGTTGATGTGTAAAGGTGATGCCTGGAGCTGCTACAGCCATCTTGTGGCCTTGGGGAGTGGCTGATGAGCTAGCTAAAAGTGCCAGAGTGGAAAGATGGAATGGGTCTGGGTTCTCAAAGACAACCCTGAGGGCTGGATTAATTAGCTGTGGATTATCCTTTTCTGGATTTCAGGTGAGATGATAAATCTCCTACTTTTCAAGCCATTTTATTTGGAGTTTTCTGTTATGTGGCAGTTAAAAGCATCAAAATTAATACAGCCTTGTGAGCTCTGTCTTTATTCTCTGACACTGTGGAAACTAGAGCTTGGAAAGTATTTCTCAAGTGGCAGAAAGAACCAGCAATAGGACTGACTCCACCCATGACTGTGTCTTTGACTTCTCACTCCTACTTCACTACAGTTGGATGGAGTGGAGTGGGGAGGAGACAGGAGAACAGAACACAAAAGAGAGCAGCCTAGAGAATTGCTAAGTTTCTTCCCCTGGATTCTGAAATTCTTAATTTCCAGGTCTAGGAATTTGTTTGGATGTCCCCCACCCTCCCAGTTTGAATAACCAGTTGTAAATTCTTTGGGAGCTGGCTTATCCCTCGAGTGCCTCACCCAAACCAACCCAGTGTGTTCTTCTATCCCCCTGCCTTTTGGTCATTTCACTTGAGCTCAATACTATTGCTGTGGTATCTGGAGTCTTAAAAACGTGACGTGGCTCACCGATATGGTCCTTCATGACTTGTGGGTAGTCACCGGCGTAAATGGGGTTGGCAAACCAGCCCAGGCAGAACTGTAGGTATCTCTCGGCAGCCTCTATGTCCTTGGGGTTAGTAATGTCCACAGGTTCCCCCCAGTCACAGTTTAATGAAATCCCCACCAGACCTTATAAGAAGAGAAAGAAAAGGGGGTGGCAGGCAGAGTGACATTGCTCCTCTGGTCACCCATCTGTTCTCAGCGCACATAGTGGTGGGGGCTCACCTTGCTGCTTGCTGCGCCATGTGTTGTTGTAGGAGTGCCAGGCTTGGGCATGGGCCTGGAAGAGAAAGGAGTCCATCAGAGATGCCTGCCTCATTCATTTCTCTCCTCCCTTTCAACCCAAGGTGGCCTTTCTCTCCTTCCTAACTCTAGAGATCATTTTAAGTCCTATCCTTTTCATGAGTCCAGCCTTGATTAGCCTAAACCATAGTATCCCTTCCTCTGACCTCCATTTTCTTTGCGCTGTGGAGGAAACTTGCTCTAAATCTGGCATAAACACATAAGCCACCACTCTGTGTTATTTATTGTTTCTAAGATTTTTGCTAACGTGTCTTGTTTCGTTCCTGGTTGTCCTCTGTAGTAACTAGGCAGTGCTTTCAGCATAGGTGCTCAGGAAGTTAGGAGAATATAATACCAAGCATCTGGAACAGTCTTGAGAAACAGAATCCAAAATGTGCCAACCTGCCTTCTCTCCATATTCTCGCCCAGGGACCCACTGATATATTCAGAGCCCTGCCCTTTAAATATTCACAGTTTAAGAAATCCTAAGCCAAATAGGGAGAGATGAGAAAGTTCTCTTGCTGACATGAATTTGAGGGTCTGGTATGTCCCCAGTGATCCCTTGCCTGCCCGCCTGATCAGATTGTCCACCTTCTGTTGAGGGTCCATTGGGGCCATCATGCCTCGCACCCCTGTTCCCCAGTCATCATCACCTGGACCCTCATATATGTCCTGGAATGTGACCAACCCCCTCCCCTGCTTCTCAAGCCTTTCCAATAGCCTTGTAATTCGCCCATCGTTATCTCCTCTCAGTGTCCCCCTCAATTTCTGCCCTAACTGAGGAAAGTTCTCGCTGACATGAATTTGAGGGTCTGGTATGTCCCCAGTGATCCCTTGCCTGCCCGCCTGATCAGATTGTCCACCTTCTGTTGAGGGTCCATTGGGGCCATCATGCCTCGCACCCCTGTTCCCCAGTCATCATCACCTGGACCCTCATATATGTCCTGGAATGTGACCAACCCCCTCCCCTGCTTCTCAAGCCTTTCCAATAGCCTTGTAATTCGCCCATCGTTATCTCCTCTCAGTGTCCCCCTCAATTTCTGCCCTAACTGAGCCTGACTGCCCCTAAAGACCGCAGCCACGGCAGCTCTTTCCAGCAGACGCCATTTTTTCCCCTCACACCCCACACACCTTAGGAGAGTGTCTGCCTTGCTCTTTGTTGCTGCTTCCAAACGACTTCTCCTTCCTCCCTCAAAAACTCCAGGTCCTTTGAAGTCCATGCTATCAGACAAGCACTCCTAACGCCTTCCTGCTGCTGTCCTTCACCAACCTCCAGTTACTTCTGCTCGGTCACGGAAGGTGTTAGCCCCTAGTTCACTGTCATCCCCCCACTTCCTCCTGTCACCATTCCTCACAAAAGAGTTTAGACCTGTAGGTGACAAGTTTTCACATGCATGTGCTCCAGCCCCTTGGCTAGATTGCAAGCTCTATAGGGAGCAGTCACGCTGTCGTCTGGGCTGCAGTGTCCAGCAGAGTCCTGGATGGCAGGACACTACCTCATAGATCCTCATGGAAGGGAAGGGGACCATGTTAAGGTGAGGTGGCAGAGGACTGGGCTCAGACTTGGGCCCTGGGGTGGGCTCAGCTGTCACTGGGACCCACCCTTCCACCTTGAACCCAGCCTTCACTCCCAGAAGGACCCACTTCACCTTAATGACGTGATGTGCCGCCTGGTACAGGCCCGTGCCGTGGAGCTTCAGTCCAGGTGCATGGTGGCCCGTCTCGTAGCCTTTTTCTGCCATTGTCTGCAGGGACGGCAAGTGGGGACCATGGGAGCCGTGAGAAGTGACAGGGTACACTCCTGCCTGGAAAGTGGGTTTTGCCACCTGGAGGGGGGCCTTGCTTACCCGAGGGTCACTGAAAGTGACCCAGTGCTTCACCCGGTCCCCAAAGGCCTCGAAGCATAGGCTGGCGTAGTCACTGAAGTAGCTGGCCGCGCTCACGTTCTGCCACCCGCCATAGTTGCCCTGGAGCAGCTGCAAACAGAGCACGGAGAGGGCGGCAGGTGGCCCACCCTCCAAAGCACGGATCGTACTCCATCTTCTCCCCATCACCTCCCTGAAGCCAATGTCTCGTCCTCTGACCTCCCACCACCCTGTGTCACAGAGAGGTACATAAGCGGCTCCTCTGCCAGCTGGGCCGTGATACCACAGAGCCTTGTTGAACGAATGAAAAAACTGCTTGAATAGTGATGTCTAACTGTGAGGTTCTTAGGCATGTTGAGGCTTTATGGAAATCGCTTGGGAGGGGGCGCTCGTATATGAGCACATACAGTTCTAACAACCTGGGGGAGAAAAGGCTAAACAAAACAAACTTGCTTATTAGTCCATCAACTCTTACTCAAAAGATGCTTCTTTCTTTATAGTCTGAGTTGTCGTTTCCAGGCCAAATGTTTTGGAAAACATCAAAATCTGTGCTTACCACTTATTACAAGCATCAGTTGAACCAGTGGGACCTCCCTGCCGTGGGTAAGTTGGGAGATTTCTCCTTCACTCCCTGCCATCTTCCTGTCCCGAGCCAGAGCCCAGACCCCAACCTTTGCCCCCACCTTGGCAACCCCAAGTGCCCAGATCGGGCTCCCTCTTGCTGAGCTCCCCTTGGGCCTCTGAGCCTGCGCAGCCTCACCTGTGGGAGATCCCAGTGGTGCAGGGTCACGATGGGGGTGATGTTGCTGTTCAGAAGGGCGTCAATGAAGTCACTGTAGAATTGGATTCCCTTCTTGTTCACCCCGTCAGCTGAAGGCGAAATAAAAGGGGGGACTTGATGAGAAAGGACCTTGGCCTTGACCTTCTGAAGTGCACTATTCCTGGGCCCTGGAGCTTTCTGTAGGCCTGAAGGCACCCTCAGCCCACCAGCACTCGGGTCTCAGATGGTGGAATAGCTACTGCTGGGAGCCCAGCTACCTGCAGAACCCGTGAGAGCTGCTGCTGGGGAAACCGTGCTCATGGGCTGTTCTCACCGCCCAGGACTCTGTGGTGTCCCCACAAAGCCAGCACGGCCAAAAGGGGCCACTCCCGGGCTGGGGTAGTGTGGCCTTAGCTCACCTCGCACACCCGTGGGCAGGAGCCGGGGCCAGGACAGGGAGAACCGGTAGTGGCTGACGTGCAGCTCCCTCAGCAGAGCGACATCCTCCTGTGCAGACAGGGGTGGGTGCAGGGCAGGGTCAGCCGGACCCCACTAAGGCCCCTCCTGTACGTACTCCTCATCTACGCAACAGGCGTCACGCCACCTGCCCCCGCTTCCTCCTGGGGCTATGCCAGGAGTCAAGTAAAATGCAGGATATGAGGATGCTTTGAGAAATCCATCAGGGTGATGGATCCCCAATCCAGAGAGGAAAGTGGGTGCTGAGCAAAGGGACAGAGGATGAGCTGGTCCCGCTCTCCCCACAGGAGGCCCATTCCCATGCAGGGACCAGGGGTTCAGGCTACTGTGGCCTGTAGGCCCTGGGGTCATGGCCTCAGCCCTTCAGCTGCCCATCGCTTAGACTAAGGCACTGGCTCAGGTCGGGCCCAGCTTTCCTTTCCTCCTTCATCCACCTTCCCACATCCTGGCACTCCCTCCCCAAGCCCCAGTCACCACCGACCCCTCCCCGCTCGGCTGCACTGGGATTGGGGATGTTTAGCAGAGCACTTGGTTGACATTGTCACTCGGGTTCCCCCAACATGTCTGTCACCTCCCAACTCTCCCTAGGTGATGCTCAATCATACACACACATGCACACCCATCACTCACCTGGACCTTGTAGTAGCCGTTACAGGCCACGTCTGCAGTCTCCTCCCCAAGCACATTCCCTTTCCTACTGTGCGTGAAGGTGTCCCAGATGCTGGGCCCTTTCCCGTCCTGGTCCCAGGCGCCCTCAGTCTGGAAGGCGGAACTGCCCACGCCCCAGGTGAAGCCTGCAAATGGAGACCCCAAGCTGGGCTCTGAGTCCCCTCCCACTCCCCACCCAGTACTGGGACGCTGGGCTGTGCCTCCCAGGCCACAAGGCAAGCCCCCTTCCCAGCAGCCTGCCCTGTCTCCCTAGGAGTGGGAGCATGTGTGGTAGGGCGGAGGGCGGGGGGAGACACAATACATTAAAAGCATTTATCTGCACCATTTTAGCTCTGATTTGCATTTACTATCTATACAGTAACTTTAAAAAAATTCTGTTAGGAACTTCTTTTATTTCAGAACAACTACATGGAGTTATTTTCCCCATCCTACCTATAAGGAAGCTAAAACACCAAACTCCTTGACAAGTCAGCCAAGGTAGGCAATCTGACAGACAAATGGACAGACGGACAGACCAACGGAGGAGTGGACATACCAAGTGGGAAGGTTCCATAGTAGAAGGCCTCTTCTAGGGATTCCTTCCTGGTGGCCCCCAGCCTGGACGCCAGCAGTAGCACCCACCAAAGAGTGACAGCCCTCACTGGCTTCATGGCACCCGGCTCTCCCCCATACCCGAAAAAGCACATCTGACAGGTGTAGGCCCATACAGCCAGGGCCTGGCAGGGAAGATCCTGGCTTTGGGGAAACAGGAGGGGAGGAGGTGGGACGGGGTGGAGGCGCTTTATCTAGAGAAGCGTTGGCTCTTCTGGGGTCAGCTAGTCCCTGGCTTTGCTGGGACCCACCAGCACAGGCTGAGGCTGTTCTCCAGATACGATTCCCAAGTTAAACACTAAGGAGGACAAAGACCGGGCATGGGGAGCTCTGGGTCTGATAGGCAACGCTTCAAACCACCCCTGTCCCTGTCTTATGGGGGAGACCCAGCCTATACCCTGTGATGGCCTCAGTCTGATGGGGAAACCACTCTGCCTTAGGGACGCTCCAGTCTGATGGGGCTGGCAGGACAACCCACAGAGCCCCTGCAGCACCCCACCTACACACTGTGGTCTATGCAAAGAGACAGACCCCTCCCCAAGCCGGGGGTCATGAGCAGGGTCACCATCCCAGCGTCTTCCGTCCTAAGGGTCAGGGCAATTCCCTTTCCCTGGGCTCCCCTCTCTGATGCCAGCCTAGCCAGCTTACCCAGGATTGTCCTCGGTCCCAGACACCCCCAGAGTAGCAGCTGGTGGCCAGAGCACTGTCAGACTGACCCCCTCAGGGCCTGTGCGCACCCCCCAAGAGCAGAGCCCTCAGCCCAGCGAAGGCTCTGGTTGGGGGCGTGACCAGTGGCCTAACCCCCCTACAAAGAGCTTCAATAGCCCCAATTCAGTGGGGAGGGCAGGAATG